ATCGTCGCGCCTCCTAAGACCCGTCGCGTCCCCCCCCTCTGGGCCCCGTCGCGCCCGTTCGGCCCCGTCGCGCCCCTCCTAGGCCCCGTCGCGCCCGCTGGGCCCCTTCGCGCTTCCTAGGCCCCGTCGCGCCTGCTAGGCCCCGTCGCGCCCCCCCTGGGCCCCGTCGCGCCCGTTAGGCCCCGTCGCGGCCCCCCTGGGCCCCGTCGTGCCCGCTGTTTCCGCCGCCTCGACGATCTTTTTCGTCGTCGCTTTGGCCCGGCCCCGGACCTCCCTGACTGGCACAGCCTGCTCCGCCAGGGCGTGCCGATCTTTGAGTTAGACATGGATCAGATAGGTGCTGCTTTGCATGCTTTGTATGCTGACGCTTCTAGTGTTGATGGATCTTACTACCATGTGTACTCTAGTTTAGGTGTTTCACCCTTGTGTAGCTTAGCTTCCCCTGCTGCGACAGGCGTAGGACTGCCTAGGTTGCCTAGTCTAGTCGCTGCACCGGCTCCGTCCCCGGCCCCCGCCACTGCGTCGCTGTCCTTCACTCTCGACTCTGGTGCTTCTGCCTGCTTCTTCCGCGACCGTTCCACGCTCACGCCGCTTGCTGCACCTGCTGTTGTCTCTCTCGCCGACCCCTCTGCGGGTCCGGTCGTCGCGCGCAGTTCTACGTCCCTTCCCTGTCCGGCAGTTCCCTCGGGCTCCCTTACTGGCCTCCACGTTCCCTCGTTCTCCAGGAACCTGGTTGGTGTCGGCTGTCTCCAGGACCTCGGCGTCACCACCACGTTCCCCGGGCACGAGCGGTTCGCTGTCTGTTCTGAGGCTGTCTCAGGTTCCCCCCTTGCGACGTTCCCCCGGGACCCGGTGTCCGGTCTGTTTACCCTACACACCGCTTCCCCCCCGGTTGGTGCGTCCTCCCAGGTCGCTGCAGCTTGCTCGTGTCGGTCCCTCACTCACCCCTCCCTTCTCTGGCACCACCGCTTAGGTCACCCTGCTCTCCCGCGTCTGCGTCACATGTCCCAGCACGGTCTTGTCTTAGGTCTCCCCGCGTCGCTCCCTGCCCTTCCTCCCTCGACTGCGCCACCGTGCACGCCTTGCGTCGAGGGTCGGCTCCGCCGTGCTCCTCACTCCTCCTCGCTGCGTCCTGCTACTGCCCCCCTTCAGACCCTGCACTTGGACGTTTGGGGCCCTGCCCCCGTCCCCGGACCGCGCGGTGAGCGCTACTTCCTTGTGCTTGTCGACGACTACACGCGCTACACCACGGTGTTTCCCCTGGAGCGGAAGGCCGACGTGCCCGACGTTCTTCTCCCGTGGGTTGTGGCTGCGCGTCTCCACCGCGGTCTCCCCGTGTTGTGTCTCCACTCCGACCGTGGCGGCGAGTTCGCCTCTGGTCGGCTTGGACAGTTCTGTCGTGCGGAGGGCATCACCCAGTCGTACACGTTGCCGGACTCGCCACAGCAGAATGGGGTTGCTGAGCGCCGCATCGGCTTGGTCATGGAGGTCGCCCGTACCTCCATGATCCATGCCGATGCCCCCCATTTTCTGTGGCCGTTCGCTGTTCGCTACGCGGCTCACCAGCTTAACCTGTGGCCACGCTCCCAGCGGCCGCAGGTTTCGCCGACCCTCCTTTGGACCGGGTCCCCCGGTGACGCGTCTGCGTTCCACGTCTGGGGCTGCCTTGCTCACGTTCGTGCCTCTGGCACGGACAAGCTCACTGCCCGCACTGTCCCCTGTGTCTTCCTCGGTTTCCCCCTGGACTCGTCTGACTGGCTTTTCTACCACCCGCCGTCTCACCGCTTCCTCCACTCTCGTGACGTCACCTTTGATGAGTCCGTCTCCTTCTACCGCCGCTTCCCTCACCGAGGTCTCCCAGTTGCCCCCCCCCTTTTCCTTGCTCCCTCTCCCCCGGTAGCCCCTGCCCCTCTCCCGCCTCGTCCTGCCCCGTCTGGTGTCTCCCACGTCACTCCCCTCCCGTCGGTTGTCCCCGTTGAGGAGTCTGCTGACTCTGGTGGTACCCCCGGTCCATCCTTGCCGCGTCCCCCTTCCCCGGTGCCTCCGCCCCCACTGTCGCAGTCGCCGACCCCGCTGCCGCCGCCGTCGCCGTCGCCGCCGCAGCCGTCGCCGCTGTCGTCGCCGCCGCCGCCGCTGTCGCTGCCGCAGCCGTCGCCGCTGTCGCCGCCGCCGCAGCCGTTGCCGCCACTGCCGCCGCTGCTCTCGGCCCCTGGGGGTGCTGGTGTGGAGGAGGGTGTTCGTCCTGCGGCTTCTGGGGGTGCCGCTGGTGTTGGAGGGGGTTCTCGCTCTGGGGGTGTTGGTTCTGGGGGTGCTGCTGTTGAGTGTTCTGCCGACGGTCGTTCTGCCTCTGCTGGTCCGAGAGTTCCGGCCCAGCCGTCGTCGCCGCCGCAGCAGCCGTCGCCGCCGGTTTCCGCTCTCCGCCTGCTCGGCCTTCCCTCCCCGGACCGCGCGCCGGTGTCTCCCCCACCGCCTCCTGACCTCCCTGTCTACGGTCCTGTGTTCCCGCCGCCAGACTCGTCTCCGGCCCGTCTTCCTCCTCGTTCCCCTCCTGTGTCTCCTCCGCTGTCCCCTGACCCTACCCCTCCGTCTCACGTTTGGGCTCGCCGTCCCTCCCGTGCTCGTCCCGTCTCTCCTGTCCTGCCCACCCACCCTATGTTGCTCCGTTCCCACTCGTCTCGTCCTCCCCTCCTCCCGTCCCCTCCTCCCTCGTCCCTTGCTGTTGCACCTCCTCCGTTCTCTGACTACCTCCGTGCTGCTCGTCCCCTTGTCCCTCGGGTCCTTGCCTCTCTTGTTACCGACCCTGCTGTTCCTGTCTCGCGCCTTGACGCGCTTGTCGCTGCTGTCGCTGACTTCGCTTCTACCCGCCGCCTTGACTACGCTACCGCTCTGGTCTCTGACCCTGCCCGTCCTCTGTCCGTCGGGGGTGCTCCTGCCCTTGGCAGTGACGTCCTAGAGGACAGGCAGTACGAGCTGGCTTTCCTTTCCGAGGCTGCTCCCCATCTCTGCTCCATGCTGTTAGTCCCTGAGGGTGACCCAGACGCCTTCGACATCCCGACCCCTCGCACCTACGCTGAGGCCACCTCGGGACCTTGGGCCTCTCAGTGGATAGCTGCCATGGAGCAGGAGATGGCATCTTGGAGATCCACCGGCACTTACGTCGACGCAGTTCCCCCGCCTGGGGTGAACGTAGTCGATGGTCGGTGGCTCTTCAAGGTGAAGCGCCCCCCTGGAGAGCCGCCTGTCTTCAAGGCGCGCTACGTGGCCAGAGGTTTCAGTCAGCGCGAGGGGGTTGACTTCTTCCAGACCTTCGCCCCGACCCCGAAGATGACCACTCTTCGGGCGCTGCTACACGTAGCAGCACAGCGTGACTACGAGCTTCACTCCCTCGATTTCTCTACTGCCTTTCTTCAGGGCAGCCTACACGAGCAGGTCTACCTGCGCCGACCACAGGGCTTCACTGGTACCTTCCCTCCTGGGACCCAGTGGCTTCTCAGGCGCCCGGTCTACGGCCTGCGTCAGGCTCCCCGCGAGTGGCACGACACGCTACGTGCCACGTTAGCAGACCTGCAGTTCTTTCCGTCCTCTGCTGACCCTTCACTGTTTGTGCGTTCCGGCCAGACTCCGTTCTACATCCTTGTCTACGTAGACGACCTGGTCTTCGCTACTCCTGACAGGGACGCACTGGCCTCTGTGAAGGCTGAGCTGCTGAAGAGACACACCTGCACTGACCTTGGAGAGCTGCGTCGCTATCTTGGCCTGCAGATCTCTAGGGACAGAGCAGCACGCACCATCACTCTGACCCAGTCACACTTGGTGCGTCAGGTCCTTCAGAGGTTCGGTCTTCAGTTCTCCTCCGCACAGCCCACACCTCTACCCGTAGACCATGGGCTCTCTGCTCCCGTTCCTGAGGAGCCAGTAGAGCCCAGTGGCCCCTACGCAGAGCTGGTGGGTTGCCTCATGTACCTGATGACTTGCACTCGCCCAGATCTCGCATACCCTCTCAGCATCCTGGCTCGCTTTGTGGCTACAGGCAGACACCGACCTCAGCACTGGTCTGCCGCTAAGAGGGTTTTGCGTTATCTTGCTAGTACATCAGGCATGGGGTTAGTGCTAGGAGGACGCAGGCCAGTGGTCCTTACTGGGCACACAGACGCTTCTTGGGCAGACGACGCTGAGACGCTCAGGTCGTCGCAGGGCTACTGTTTCAGCCTTGGTTCGGGTGCTATCTCTTGGAGATCCACTCGCTCGTTGTCTGTGGCTCAGTCTAGCTGTGAGGCTGAGATCTACGCTGGTGCCATGGCGGCACAGGAGCTCCGCTGGCTGACCTTCTTGCTCACAGACTTAGGTGAGCGGCCTAGCTCTGCCCCGGTCCTGTACGCTGACAACAGGGCCATGATACTCCTGTGTCAGGAGCCTCGGCTTGAGGGCAGAGCGAAGCATATGCAGCTGCGGTACTTCCTCCTGCGCGAGCTACAGCAGCGCCGCCAGGCCCGCGTAGTTCACTTGGCCTCAGGTGCCAACACAGCTGATATCTTTACTAAGGCGCTTGCGCCTAAAGATCATCAGCGGCACTGTGTACAGCTTGGTCTTGTTCCTATAGCTGCTCCCCTGTTAGGATCCTGATTGTGTACTCTCTATTATATATGCTTGTCAGACTGGCCTTGTGGCCTTACCTCCAGTGGCTGGACTAGTAGTGCCACCCTGGCTTGCTTCAGTTTTGGTTGTATTCTTGCTGACTGGTCTCCAGACCCCTGCCTCAGTGGTTGGACTAGTAGTGCCGCCCTGAGCTGTTTGCTTCTTGTTTAGTTTCACCCCTTGTCTAGCCTAGGGGGTGTGTCAACTTATACATATTATCTATGTAGAAGTTATAGGCTAGACTGAGGTATGCTTCTAGTGAGTACAACCAACTAGTATTTGTTCTAGGTTTCCACCTCTAGTAATCATTCGTTTCTACGTTATCACTTTGGACCCTTGCCTCAGAGGTTGGACTAGTGCCACTCTGAATTGTGTGTCTCTTGCCAGGCACTGCCCCTCATCTAGCCTAGGGGGTGTGTCAAAACATACATATGTGTTATAGGCTAGATAGGTGCGTACCCTTAGAGAGTACAACCCCTTGTAGCTCTCATTTATCTCTCATTCTAGTCATTTATTCTAACTTTGATACCCCCTTCCCCCCCACAGCCCCCTTGCACCCCCCTTCCCTTCGGGCTTCTCCCCCAAAAGGTGTGCATTCGCCTTCTGAGTCAACTCAAAAGTAAACTCAACAACCCCCTTGCACCAGCCTTCCCCTTCGGCTACTCCCCCAGTAGGTGTGGGTTCGCCGCCCAAAATGCATCAGCGATGATGTCATCGTGCGCCACCACCAGCTTCGACCGCTTCCTCACCACGGGCCGCCCGTCCGGCTGCTGCTTGCCCTCCACCTGCTCCTCCACCTGCCATGGCATGGCCGGGGAAGAGGGGAAGTAAAGAATGTTTCCCTGCCTGCCTGCCTGCTGCTTGCCCTCCACCCGCTCCCCCACCTGCTCTAGTCTGGTCCGCAACCACTGGCCGCCCGTCTGGCTGCTGCTTGCAAGCAACTGAAAGCAAGCGAAACGAAGTGAGAGGGCAGCGGTACCTGGCGTCGGAAGATAGAGGAGCCCTTGCGGAAGATGGCTGGCAGGTCATTGTAGTTGACGCCGAAGCGCGTGAATAACAGCTCGTTCTTGGCGTCCGCTAGCGTGCCCTGGGGTGGGGGTGGGGGGGGCAGGGGGGAGGGTGTGGGGTTGTGAGGAGGGAAGCGGAAGAGTATTGAGAGCAGGTTGTTGATTTTGAGAAGGAAGCACGTGAATGACAGCTCGTTCTTGGCGTCCGCTAGCGTGCCCTGGGGTGGGGGGTGGGGGGGGGCAGGGGGGAGGGTGTGGGGTTGTGAGGAGGGAAGCGGAAGAGTATTGAGAGCAGGTTGTTGTAATTGAGAAGGAAGCACGTGAATAACAGCTCGTTCTTGGCGTCCGCTAGCGTGCCCTGGGGGGGAGGAGGGGGGGCGGAGGGGAGAGTAAAGAGGGAAAGAGAGAGAAGAAAAGGACTGAGAAAGGAGGGGAGTATTGAAGCGGGGAGACGGGGGAAGAGAAAATTGAGGGACGAAGACAACAGAACTGGATGCGAGAAGGGAGGGGCAAACGACAGGAGGGATAGGTAAAGTGTAGGCGCTGGTGGTAGGGTTGGGTGGGTGGTGTAGGTACCTCGATGCTGAAAGTACCTCGATGCTGAAAGTACCTTGATGCTGAAAGAACCTCGATGCTGAAAGTACCTCGATGCTGTAAGTACCTCCATGCTGAAAGTACCTCGATGCTGAAAGTACCTCGATGCTGAAAGTACCTTGATACCTCGATGCTGAAAGTGCCTTGATACCTCGATGCTGAAGGTACCTTGATGGTATCTTGTGCCTCCTTGGGCGTGAGGCCTGACTTGACGAGCATCCAGAAGCACGTGTTGTACTGGTTGTTGATGTGACCTGCCACCGCGGACAGACGACAAATGGGGATGCGCACGGAAAACGAAACGGGAATCGAGCCTCATGGGTGAAAGGAAGATTGAAAGAACGAAGGAAAAAAAACCGTTTTAGAGGGCTGGACTGGAAGGGGACCGTGGAGTCATTTTTTAGAATTCTAAAAAGAAAAAAAGGAAGTCGGGGTTTGGCAATGCACAAGCGGGTATATTTCAGGAGGGCAGGGACGGATGACAGATGCCAGACAGAGAGCCGGCGGGCCAGGGGAGAGAAGAAATGTTGGCCAGGAAAGGCGCTGGCTGGCAGATTTTTGAGGCGCCTAAAAATCTGGCATTAGAAAGAAGAGATATTGGTAGGAGAGGCACTGACAGTCGACTTGGCGCCAGGAGAGGAAGTCCCAGAGCACAGCGGTGGACGGGTAGAGGACAGTTGGCTTTTGAGAATCCTCAAAAAACAACCCAGGGCGGGCGGGGCAGGAGCGAGAGGAGATATAGGACAGGCAGGGAAAGGCACTGACAGTCAACGTGGTGACTTTTGGTGTGACACTCAAAAGTCACCAGGGCGGGCGGGGAATCAAGAGAGTCAAGAACGGGGTGAGATATGGGGCAGGCTGGACAAGGCACCGACAGTCGCCTTGGCGCCAGGAGAGGTAGTCTCGGAGCACAGAGGTGGACGCGTAGAGGACAGTTGGCTTTTGAGAATCCTCAAAAACAACCCAGGGCAGGTGGGGAATCAAGAGAGTCAAGAACGGGAGAGAGATATGGGGCAGGCTGGACAAGGCACTGACAGTCGACTTGGCGCCAGGAGAGGTAGTCTCGGAGCACAGCGGTGGACGGGTAGAGGACGGCGCGGGCGTCGAAGGACGGCAGGGAGAGCAGTGGCTGCGAGGGGAAGTGGTGCGACCAGCTGTGCACGTACGAGGCGGCGAACAGCGACGCCACCACTGATATCAGCTTGCTGCTCTGGCAGGTGGAGAGAGAGTGTAGTGGGAGAGAGGGTGTAGTGGGAGAGAGGGGCAGAGGGAGAGAGGGCCAGGGAGGAGAGGGGCAGGGAGGAGAGAGGGCAGGAAAGAGAGCGGAGAGAGCAGTTGTTGACGGGAGAGTGCGATGAACGGAAAGGCAGACACACAACGAAAGACAAAGGTGGTTGAGAGGAAGGTGCAGGGAAATTGCTTCATGGCAATGCGCCCCTCGAATGTAATGGTCTGTGGAGAGCCTTGTGCATGAAATGGAGAGCCGTGTGCTGGCGGGACTCGAGTTGCGGCACGCAGCACTCCACCACAGACACCACCACCAGCCTGGGTCGGGGTACCAACCCAGAGCCCAACCCAGAGCCCAACCCAGAGCACAGTACCTTGTACAAGAGCACGACAGCACCTGTGGGCCAAGCTTCACCCGAGCTTAGGAATTCACCTGGCTCTTCTCTCGTACAGGTTGGAGTCACGGCGCATGACAAAGCTGGTGGGCGGTGAGGGGATGGTGGGCGGTGAGGGGATGGTGGGCGGTGAGGGGATGGTGGGCGGTGAGGGGATGGTGGGCGGTGAGGGGATGGTGGGCGGTGAGGGGATGGTGGGCGGTGAGGGGATGGTGGGCGGTGAGGGATGGTGGGCGGTGAGGGGATGGTGGGCGGTGAGGGGATGGTGGGCGGTGAGGGGATGGTGGGCGGTGAGGGGATGGTGGGCGGTGAGGGGATGGTGGGCGGTGAGGGGATGGTGGGCGGTGAGGGGATGGTGGGCGGTGAGGGGATGGTGGGCGGTGAGGGGATGGTGGGCGGTGAGGGGATGGTGGGCGGTGAGGGGATGGTGGGCGGTGAGGGGATGGTGGGCGGTGAGGGGATGGTGGGCGGTGAGGGGATGGTGGGCGGTGAGGGGATGGTGGGCGGTGAGGGGATGAGGAGAATGGGGAACAGGAAAGGAGAAGAGAGGAGAGAAAGCGACAAGGCCTCGATTAGAGGGATGTGTGAGTACAAGCAGAGTAAACAAAAAGGGGGCAGGGGGGGGGGGGGAGGGCAGGTTTGAGGGGCAGGTGTAGGGAGCATTCCCACTGGTTTCCACTGTTTGCAGAAAAAGGCACGGTTTTGGTCCTCATATGACCTTCCTTCCAGCCCTTAACGTTCTACGAGCCCCTCCCAGCAAACCGCAGCCCGCCGCCTCACCTGAGCTCACCTGAACTCGTCGCTGACGCCGTACGCGAAGACGACGTCGGGGACCTGCGCCATGACGGCCGTGGCGGCGGCGTTCATCAGCTGCAGCCCGCGCTCGTCGTTGGGCTTCTCGAACGCGTGCTCCGCCACGAACCTGCGGGGATTGAAATGAGCGAACGAGGGGGGGAAAGGGCCGGGTGGTGGGGAGAGGAACGCTGTAACCCCGCCACGTCCTTGGGCGTCTCTAACGAATGCTCTGGCACGAATCTGAAAGTTTCGTGCCAGAGCAGAAGCGAGGGGAGGGGAGAGGGAGAGGAGGAGGGGGCGAAGGGGAGAGGAGGGGAGGGAGGGAGGGAGGGAGGGAGGGAGGGAGGGAGGGAGGGAGGGAGGGAGGGAGGGAGGGAGGGGGAGAGAGGCCCGTCGTTGGGCTTCTCGAACCCGTGCTCCGACAGGAAGCAGCGGGGCGCGAGGGAGGACTTTAGAGGCGCCTCAAAAGAGGAAGGGGGAGGGGAGAAACGCCATGCATCAGGAAGGCGGGCTTTTGAGTCGACTCAAAAGCATCAGGAAGGCGGGCAAAGCAGAGGAGAGAGGAAGACGGGGAAAGGGAAAGAGCTGCAGCCCGCGTACATCGTTGGGCTTCTCAAACTCGTGCTCTAATAAGACGCCAAGTATAGCAGAGAGCCTTGCGACGCTCATCGCCTTATGCGATGGACGCGACACGAAGGATGGAGAGCAGGCTATGAGCCTCTCACTGGAGCTAAGGTGGGGCGCGAGACCAGGGCAAAATTGCTCAATGTCGCGTAACAGAACAGTCAATAGCGGGTACGAGGGTGGGGCGCGTGCCGTGAGACGCACTTGCTGAATCCGCGGCCGTCTACGCGAATGACGATCCAGCAGTGCGGCAGCAGTCGGTCCGGCTGCTCGAACTGCTTCACGTACTCGTACCGGCTGTTCGCCATCGCCACCTGAGCGCTGTGCACACGCGCGCGCGCGGTGTCGCTCCCGCGCAGCAGTATCGCACGCGCGCGCACCCGCGCGCCGTATGGATCTACGGGTGTTCCTGAATTTCAGAGAAATTCAGCCGCCCGATTGGTTAAAATGTGAGAATCGACGAATCGACCGTTCGCTCACACCACGCAACAGCGACGCAACGGCCTCACGAGCCGGAAGTGGAGTGAACGGCGAGAGCGATCCAAACAGTCGGGACTCGGAACATGGATGAATAGGCGCACGGAATTCAAGCGAAGCCCAAGACGGTTTAGGCAAGGGCGCGTGCCTGGCTTTAGAGACGTCCGTTCTGCAGAAGCGCACACTTCGTCGCTGGCTCGCGAAGGGTAGAGACCTTCCAATGTTGCAGCAAGCAGTACTCGTCATGAGAACTCGTTACTACAATTAATGCTATCCGCTAGTGCGTTACGATATTGGCAGTTTGACTCTTGTAAAAATGACCATAAAGCATGCACAAGATAGAAAGTCGTAGGAGGTTGTTGATTGTTTTATGCTACATATGATTTATACGTGAAGACCAACCGATGCAACTTCCCATCCAACAGTTGCTTTGGTTCCCAAATCCTTTTGCCCCCTTTCCCCCAATGTCCAACTCCACCCCCCTTCCCTTGCCGTCTTCTCTATCCTCTAATCTCACTCAGCGCATCAAACACCTCTCCCTTACACACCGCCTCCAGCCCCTCCCCTGAATGCGACACAAGAGGAGACACCTCCACCCCAGCACCCTCCTCCTCCCCTCCCTCAGTCCGCTCTACCCCTTCACTATCCGCTCCATCCTTCCTCCTAACAATCCTCCCGCCAGCTGCTCGCACCCACTGCCCATGCAGTGCCAGCACGTGTTGCCGGGCCGTGTCGGGCGAGTCGGTAGCAGCACCGGGGGCGTTCTTGACTGGCGAGAACTCCTCGTCGCGGACCACCTGAGGGATTGGGTGGGGAGAGGTGGGGACTGGGCTGTGAAGGTTCAGGGTTTAGAGACGCCTCAAAGGCGGCGGCAGCAGCAGCAGCAGCAGCAGCAGCAGCAGCGGGAGCGTTCTTGACTGGAGAGAACTCCTCGTCGCGAGCAACCTGAGGGGTTGGGTGAGGGGAGGAGGTGGTTGTGAAGGGTCTGCTTTAGAGGCGCCTCAAAGCAGCAGCAGCACCAGAGGCGTTCGTGACTGGAAGGACTTCTCCTAGCGGGCAGCCTGAGGGTTTGGGTGGGTGGGTGGGAGAGGAGGTGATGAGTGGTGGTGATGAAAAGGAGAGGGAGGCGCTCTTCACTGAAAGAGAAGAGGTAGGTAATAGACGTTCTCGTCCCTGCAGCAAGAGCATCCTGGCAAGACTCTAGTTGGAACACACTCACATGGAAGCAGGCATGCGGGGAAAGAGTGGGGTAGAAGGGAGTGGGACCCAGGGAGGTGGCGAGGAAGCTAGAGAGGCAGGGGTGTCTGTTGATAAAAAAAGAAAGCTGAAGGCACCTCTAGGAGTGCGAGCGTGGAGGCGAGCGGGAAGACGTCGAATATGAACTGCTCTAGCTTCACTCCCCGCACTGCCCCCTGCACTGATGGGATCTGCTTCACTGCCAGGTGATGGCTGAGGAGGGCAGTGGGGAGTGGAAGAGGGAGGGGAAGGGCGAGGGGGAGGGGCGTGGAGGAAAGGGAGGGAGGGAGGTGTGGGCTTGAGTGTAGAAACAGACGAAAAGCCGCAGGATAAGAGCGAGAGACAGGTAGGGAAAGAGTATGGCAGGAATGGGAAAGCGGAAGTGAAGGCGTTTGCGGTCATGGAGGAGGCCTTACATGCAGTCTCGCTTGAGTGCCTGCGCTGCTGCGCGCAGGAATTCCACAGAGAACATGTGAATGCAGATCTGATGGGGCCGGGGAGCGAGGCGGGCGGCACAAGACAAGGAGGAGAGCGAGGGATGGGCGAGGAGGATTGGAGATGAGCCGACGGGGAGGAAGAGGGATTATAAAGACGAGCAACCACTTGAGATGATTACGCACACACAACCATGTTAACACACCGACGATTATGCAGTCTCCCAGCACGCACACCCACCTCTGGCACACTGTTTTACATCCTCCTTTCAAGTAAAAACACCCATGTACCTAGATGTCCTGCTCCCCCCTTCCCTTTCCTTCCCCTCCCCCCTCCCTCCCAACAACTGACATTGCTCCAGTTGTACTTGAGTTTGCCTGTTGCTGCGTCCACAGACGAGCCCACCCCTTCGGGCAGCTCACTATACTCCATCACTGCTGTTACCAGCCCATTGTCTTCGCCTGCGGCTGAGGGGGCGGGTTTGAGAGGTGCGTGGTTGGTGCGCGCAAACACCCCCACTCGCTCCTCTGGGTACGCCTGGGAGGGACCACGACCAGTGTGAGAGAGGGGAGGAGGAGAGGAGAAAGAGAGGAGGGAGGATGCTTAGATACTCAGACACCCAGACACCGCAACAGAACAGGCAGCACTCTGTCTACCGTTCCCCCGCCATGCCCCATGATCCTTTTGGCCCCGTCTGCATGCACCTTCTGCTCCACCACTTGGTGCAGACTCGTAGAAAGCCGGCTTGCATTCCTGAGAATTCTAAAAAATCACCCAACAAGCAGCCCTACCAAACACCCATAGACTATCCTCCCAGTCTCCCCTCCCCCAATGCACTTCATACCCCCTCCCCCACTTCCCCCCCCCCCTCCTTTCCTCTTTCCCCCGGCACCTTAACAGCACAGTCAGCAGACTAGCCCAGACTTGCTGGCCTGCATTCCCCAAAACTCACCCCCTTTTTGAGGCGCCTCAAAAGATTTTTGAGGATTTTTGAGGCGCCTCAAAAATCCTCAAAAATCGTTTTGAGGCGCCTAAAAAATCAGCCCAGGCTTGCTGACCTGCATTCCCCAAAACTCACCCCCTCGCCCACCCTCCCCCGTCCCCCCTTGACAGCACCTTCTGCACCACTTTAGCAGCACAGTCGGCCGACTCATGCATGACATAGCCGAGGAAGAGAGGGTCTGCCACTCGGATCTGGGCAGAATGCAGGGGGGAATGGAGCGAAAGGGACTAAAAAATCACCGCCGACTCATGCATGACGACGTAGCTAAGGAAGAGAGGGTCCGCCACTCGGATCTGGGCAGAACAGTTTTGAGGCGCCTCAAAACTAGACTCGGGCATGACATAGCCCAGGACGAGAGGGTCCGCCACTCGGATCTGGGCACAATGCAGGGGGACATGGAGCGTGGGGCGTGGATGGGGTCGTGGGAAGCGTGGCGAGCGGAAAAAGGGAAGGGTGTAAGAAAATGGAGGGGAAGGACAGGTCGGCAGGATGTAAGGGTACAGGTCGTTCATGACAGCATGCAGCATTGCCCATTCAGCGAAGAGTGAACAGAACCCACGAGTAGGGTAGACTGGAGGCTGGCCAGCTCACTGGAGACTGACGAGCACACTAGAGGCCGATTAGCCGTAACTTGAGAACAGGCAGTGGCGCACAGGCAGTGGCGCACAGGCAGTGGCACAAAGGCAGTGGCACACAGGCGGTGGGGCGCAGGCAGTGGCGCACAGGCAGTGGCCATGGGCATTGGCGGACAGGGCACACTGGCAATGGTGCACAGGCAGTGGTGCAGAGGCAGGGGCGCACAGGATAGGGAGTGACTGACCAGAGCGTTGTCAACAGAGAAGCACTCCAAGTGCGTGACACCCTGCGCCTCAATCAGATCCAGCAACCCACTGGCCTGCAGTGCTGCACGGAAGCGGGTGGGCGTGAAGAAAGCACAAGCGTGAGGAGTCTATTTTTGAGGCGCTTCAAAAATAGAACCCACTGGCCTGCAGTGCTGCACGGCAGCGGGTGGGCGTGAAGAGAAAGCACAAGGTGGCATGAGGGAAGGTGGTACCAGAAGGCCAATGGCGAGGGGCAGGGAGGTAGGCGCGCATAACAGGAGAGGTGGCACGGGAAGGTGGCAGGAATCCCTTCCCATTACATCCCACTTAACACCCTGAACTCACCATTGTACACGCCACCGTTGCCATCAGGCGCTTGGGAAAGCTGCACAGGCAACAAAGGCGAACAGGGGCAGCAGCCGGTTGGGAGAAGTCAGACCGGGGGCGAGAGGAGAGGGGAGGGACACCGTGCACTTGTGCGTCTGTGTGTATATGTGGGTTAGAAGGGTAGGGGAGATATTGAATGATGGAAGCCGGATCAGACACAGGAGATGGCATGGTGTGATTAAGGCAGGATAAGGCAACACAAGGCAAGGCAAGGCAAGGCAAGGGCATAGCATGGGAGAAACTTGTACCGTGGTGGGAGTTTCGAGGATGATGCGGCCATCCATGGTGAAGCACGGCACAGACCCCTGCTGGAAAAGGTGCACCTGTGTGAGGGGGGGGGAGAGGAGGGAGGGGGGGAGGGAGGGAAGGAGGGGGAAGGCGGAGAGTGTCGGGGGGAGGGAGGCGTAGGGTGAAGGAGTGTATGTGTTTGAGGAGGGGGAGAGCGGGAGAGAGAGTCTGGTGGAGAATCACAGAGACGTGTGGTGTGGACTAGGACAGCAGGGCTCAAGGATAGGATCTGACAGATAAGGGGTACGGATCGTGGCTCTCGCCAGACTCCCTTTCCCCTTGGACCACTCACACACTCCCCTCATGGATAACCCCTCCCTATGGCTAACTCCCCCACTTCCCCCATGGCTCACTCCCCCACTCCACCCATGGCCGACTCCCCCACTCCCCCCATGGCCAACTCCCCCACTCCCCCCATGGCCGACTTCCCCACTCCCCCCATGGCCGACTCCCCCACTCCCCCCATGGCCGACTCCCCCACTCCCCCCATGGCCGACTCCCCCACTCCCCCCATGGCCGACTCCCCCACTCCCCCCATGGCCGACTCCCCCACTCCCCCCATGGCCGACTCCCCCACTCTCCCCATGGCCGACTCCCCCACTCTCCCCATGGCCGACTCCCCCATGGGCCACACCCCCTGGAGTACCTGCGAGGGCAGGAGGCCGAAGTAGCCGTGGTGAGCGAAGAAGTCGAGGATGGGCTGGTGGGTGAAGGGTGACGTCATGATGAGCCAGGGGATGCGCACGGGAGAGGAACCAGATGTGCCTAGAACAACGTAGGGGGGAGAGTGAGAGAGAGAGAGAGAGAAGGGAGGCAGCAGTGGTGAGGTGGTGTCGATTGGAAAAAGGCGAGACAAGGAGAAGGCGGCGGGGCGGGGATAAGGCATGATTTGCACGAGATGGGGATGGTTTGCTTGATGCGCTGCGACATGAGGCAAGGAGTGGGCAGGGACAAGGCTCTGGCAAGAGGAGATGAGGCGAAGGAAAGAGAGTGGCTGACATGGTTACCGTCACCATCCCCACCACCATCAACATCATCAATAATGCCAATCATCAGCACAATTACCATCTCCATCCCCAACTCCATCACCCCCATCCCCATCCTCATCTCCATCCCCATCCCCATCCCCATCCCCATCCCCATCCCATCCCATCCCCAACCCCATGCCCATGCCCAGCACGCATACCTGCGGCGTGCATGGCCAGTGTCTGCATGCGCAGCAGTCGCTCTGCCATGAGCTGGAAGAGAGACTTGTGCGACGGCAGACCAATGTCTGGGTGCCCCCAGGGTGGAGAGGGGAGGCGCGGGGAGACGAGGGGAGGGAGGGAGGGAGGGAGGGAGGGAGGTGCGAAAAGTGGAGGGAGTTGGTGCGGGGAAGGAGAGAAAGAGAGGAGAGTGCAGGAATAGCAAGGGGGCGTGTGGGGTGGGGGGGGGTAGAGGGTGGGGTCTGGCGGGTCAGAGAGGAGAGGTATGAAAGCCGGAAGGGAGTTCAGATGAGGGTATGGAAGTTGAAGAAGAGTGCGCTGTGCGCATAGTGATGGGACGATGGGGGGGAATCACGGTTCAGTAACAAAGATGATTTCTCAATGCACTTAGCTGCACAGGTCTCAATCTTCCCCCACCCCTCCCCAGTTGAAAGGCCACGGCTCACCATAGCATCCCTTTGGCGCTGAGCTGCCCAACCTGGTTCCCTGACAGGAGAAGGGCATGCCAGCATGTCAGGTGACGGTTCCGGGACGTGCATCGCGGGGAAAGGAAGGATCACATGGGGCACATGGGAAAGGAAAATCACATGGGGCAGATGGGAAAGGAAAATCACATGGGGCAGATGGGAAAGGAAAATCACATGGGGCAGATGGGAAAGGAAAAATCACATGGGGCAGCTGGGAAAGGAAAATCCACATGGGGCAGATGGGAAAGGAAAAATCACATGGGGCAGATGGGAACATGGGGCAGCGCTTTGAATCACTCACACCGGGCCAGCAGCACCGTCCCTTGTCTTGCTGTATCACATGCCATGCCATCATTTCCCATCGATCCCCCCCCCTTCCCACTTTCCTCCCCCTCCCCCTCCACCATCTCCCCACCACCCCCTTCCACTTCCTCCCCCGCCTTCACCTGTTACCCTCCCCCTCCCCACCCCTCCCCCCCACCCTTCCCCCCTCCCCTTTCCCCATCCCCACCTGCCCGCCTGCCAGCAGCAGCACGGCGAGTCTTCCTTGGGCAATCGCCTGCAGGCCCTGCTCCCGCCACTGCTGCTCGCTGGCAGGGGAGCGCCCCTCCACCGTGCACACGTTTGGCACCGGCTCCACCTGCAGGGGGGTGGATGGCGCTGATGGGGAGCCGTACAGGCAGTGGGGGAGAGAAGAGAGGGGGAGGGGTGGATAGAGTTAGTGGGTTGGATTGGATTGATGGGGACGGGATGAGAGGGGAGTGAAGAGGAGAGGAGTGAGGCCCTGTGGAAGGTGGTCGATTCCTGCACAGCTTTGCCCATTGGACCATCCTTGATTGTCGGACTTTATTGTGTCCGACCAGTTTCGACCGCCTAGCACCTGTGCTTCACTTAGAATCTGTCAGACAAGTTGTTTCTTGCCCAACCATCCCTACCAATCCCTACCCATCGTCTCTCAACCCATGGCCTCTCACCCCATCTCCTTTCATAATACCTCACCCCTCCACTCTCCCCTCCCCTGGCCATTCCCCACCCCAACCCCTCTCACCTCCTCACACCCTCTCAGACCCCCTCTCTCTCATTCCCGCCCGCACAATTGTGTGTGGAGTCGGTGGGAGCCTTGAACACGCGCACTGCTCGCTCCACTCCACGTCCACCCTGTAACTCCTACACCACCTGCCCCGTGCCCAACCATCCCTCACCTCATCCCCTCTCACCCCATACCCTCTCGGACCCTCACTCGTGCGTTCCTGCCCGCACCATTGTTTGTGGAGTGGGTGGAAGCCTTGAACACGCGCACTGCTCGCTCCACGTCCACTGCCTGCCGTGCGCACAGCGGAAGACAGGGAACGGCAGGAGAAGGCCTTAAGGTCGAGGTTTTGGGAACGAGGAAGGAAAGGAATCGAGCCGACACAGAGAGGAGTTGAAGGTGGAGGGTGAGGGCTGACGAAGGGGCGGGGTGGGGGGGGTGGGGGGAGGGGGAGGAGGGGGGAGGGGGAGAGGGAGGAGGTTCCGCCAAGGACTTATCAAGTAAGTATCCTACACGAGGCTGCTCATACTTATCATACGTTTATACAAATCTTAGCTTCTTGTGGCCGATCCACGCCAATCTACGCCACCCATGCTGATCCAACCAAACCAAACCACACCACTCCATGTCAAGCAATGGAATGTCAGTCCATGTCAGTATATGTCAATCCATGTCAGCCCACGTCAGTCCACGTCAGACCATGTGAAACCACATAAATCCAGGTCCATCCATATCCTCCCCTCACCTCGACGGCTTCCACCAGGCGAGCTCGCTCCTCCTCGCTCTTCAGTTCCCGCCATTGCTCCTCAATATGCTCCTGATGCACCTCGCGAAGCCTCTGCGCAAGTTCCTGAGGGAACCCACCCACTTCCCCTTTGCCGTCTCGCCCTGATCCCACTGCTACCCGCTCGATGTCGCCGTCAACTGACTGCTGTTGCTGTTGCTGCTGCATTGCGGCGCGAGCGCGCGTCACTCCTCGATTCCCGCCGGTTCTTCCTCCTAAATTCGGCTTTCCTGAGAGCACGGAAGTAAGAGCGGTTGGGTGGGATCGAACGACGAATTCGCCGGTGCCCAGGGGGGATGATCTGGGCAATGGCGGCGGCTGCAGTGGTGCTGACGGGGCGGGAACGAAAATGGGTGAAGGTGGGATGCCACAGGTGCTGAAGCCGAGCAGGAGGAGATTTGCCCGCATCTGGTCTTCTTACATACTACCGTCGCGCTACTCGTGTCTTATCTAAAGGTTGGGGAAAGCTACCGTCCCACCTTACTGAAGGTTGAGTTTTGCGTCTCCTAGTTGATCAGTCACCAGGAGATCTGAAAGTGCTAGTGCGACCATGTCGTCAATAGGACTGTTGAATCCTGTCACAAACCATGCAACAGGCTATTGTACACCAGGCATTGTAGGTTAGGGGGTGTATAAAGTGAATTTCAACGTGACTTTTTGCTAAATGACGTCAAGTTAACGGTGTGAACTTATGAAACATTCTTTTGGCGTAGGGAACCACTCCGCACCTCTCGGTGACGTCAAATCAGTAAAAAAACTGATTGTAGTTAGACACCCCGTAGGCATTCACTAGGGGCTCCACGAACTAATATCCATGATAGATTAATACGAACGATACATATACGAAGACTTAATTATTCCCACATTTTATGTGCTTTGTTTATCTTTGTCGGAGGTCTAGCCAGTGTACTCCATTAAGTGCAGAGAATCTTGTTTTGAGACATTATTTGAACTTATCCTCGCACGTGCCCAATGCTCACAGATGTTTCCGCGTCAGCCTCCTGCCCAGCGCTGCGGCAGCGCACCGCACTGGACGGACACGTCGACAAATACCGCAGACCCACGGCGCTCACCCCTCCACTTGTGCGGCGGAACACATTGCCCCTCGGGCCTTCCGGAGTCAGTCCACTCCGCAACCAGCTCCGCTTTCCTCAGTCCCATTGTGTGCACTGCTCCGCGTCCGCCAGTAGCTTCCTTCGGTGCCGAGCGGATGTCTGCGCACCGCGCAACAAGCTCGGTTCCCCTCAGGTGCTCGTTTTCACCCCCACCTGAAAGGAACGGAAGTCTCCCGCCACACGCAACCGAATCCGCACCCAGAGTTTCCGCCCAGCTTTACCAGCCAACCCAAGCCGCCGTCGAGATCGCCACGCAGTCACGGAGGGAGTATTCTTAAGTGACAATATGTCGTGGTAGTTCATGTCATGTTGGATTTGCCTGTCAAATATGCCCGTCAATACAATTGTTGACACGAAAAAGCGTGACATTGCGTCACGTAGGAACAGCCGTGTCAAGATCTGAGGGAACCCACCCACCCAACCCATCAGCCAGCCTCAGTTCCAAGCCCAGGTGCCGAACAAGCAGAAACTCCCTGTGCAGGGCTTAATCTAGGTTTTTGGGGCGCTTGGACAGAAGGAGCGGCCTTCAATAGTTACCCTTAAAATAAAGGCTCAGAAAAATTATTCCCTTTAGAAAAAAAACTTTCACAAAAACCACGCGTAGGGCTTGGCCAAACCTCCCCTGGCATACAGAAATTGTAGGACCACGTAGAGGAAGAACTGCCAGGAAGTAAGGCCTCCAATTACCAAACGTGCAACAAAAGCTCAAGGCATGGCATTCTGCCTTACCGCTGGCATGGAAAACTAAAACTTTGTTTCAAACTTTGTCTCTTGAGGCGGATTCGAGGCTGGAAAAACGGCTTTCTTTATGAATACATAGCAGTAAGATGAGGGGGAGAGGGAGGGAAAAAAACTGCCACAACTTGGGGAAAAACGACGGGTGTGAAATGAAAAACAGAGAGAGGAGAAGGGTGTGGGGAGAGGAGGGGTGTGGGGGAGGTTGGTAGAGTTAAAAAGAAACGGGCACCCCTGAAAACTCTCCGAATGGAAAGGCTGTTGCCAGTGGTAGGCTGGAACTCAAACGGTTGGGTTTTTACCGGACCTTTTTGAAATACAAGATTTAGCCGAAATGTACCCTTAAAACCAGTAAAAAAACGGGCATTCACTCTGTAAGCACAAGCCCGTCCCTGTGGTCCGTCGGACGTGTTTGTTTGGGCTTTCCAGAACAAAATCATGAAATTAATTTCTCGTGACTGTCCTGACTTTCGCCAAAGTGAGGTTGTCAATAACAGGTCTCGATTTCAAAAGCTGGTGGCGGTCTTCAGGTGGGATGCCTGTTAGGCAAATGGCCGTCTGACCCTGAAAATGGGCCGTGAGGAGCGAAACATGAAGATTACACAAAGCCCCTTCCGCATCTATTGGGCTGGCGTAGGGCATCCTGTTCCGCATGCCCCCGCCCCGCCATTCCCGCCCGTCCCCGCGAGTCCCTCGCCCCCGCCCCACCCACACCCTCGCACACTGCCGTTCCGCAAGCAAACTTCTCCCCTTCGCGCCCCCACTTCGCAGTTTTGCGGACCCTTTTTCCCTCTCCCTCTCCTCTCCCCTCCCCTTCCCCTTTTCCCTTCCCTTCATCTCTCCCCTCGCCTTCTTGTCTCGCAAACCCTTGCGTACCAGCTAGTTTTCCTCGTTCCTCTCTCTGTTCTAACTTGTGGCAAGTCCGCCAGCGCTTCAGTGAGAACCATCAGCAGTAGGGGTTGTTTTGTGTTCAGTCCCTTGGTCGCAGTCAGACTCAGTTCTACTCGCGTTAGACCATATTCTACATTTCGTGTGGTGGCGTTCGTATTTTAATAACAGGAAAGCTGTTAAGGTTTCAACTTTCAACCGCCGTATGTGGCGGAGTTCATGTTGTCGGTAACGACGAGTGTTGGCAGCCGAGACAGGTCCTTTTTTCGGGAGGTACGCGCGAAACATGCCAGCTCGCGTAGTTTTCGTTGCCTGTATTACCTCGGAGCGATTGCCGGGCGTTTCTGATGTCTCCTGCGAGCAACCGTCGGTACATGATCAAATCCAGGGTCCGGACTTCTGTCGGTCCACTCTCTCCCTACGGTACCGCAAGCGTTTAATTGTCCATCCCCCGCTTTTTTCAATCCCTCCCATCTGGCGTAACTGCGTCCCCGTCTTTCCATCGCAGCCGTCAAATCGACCGCATGGCGAATCGACGGCGTCTCTCGAGTCCAAACACGGAGCGTTCGTCGCCAACCCCTAGACAGAAACCGTCAATAGCAGCCTTCGGCGGAAACTCCGCTAGGAAGTCTGCCGGAAACCGTCAACCGCAGCCGTCCCGCGCAACCGCCAGTAACAGCACGAGCACGAGCACAACCACCAACAGCACTAATTCCACCAGCAGCGAGAGCAGCGACGAGGATATTAATACGTCTAGAAAGGTCGCCAGGAAAAGTCGCAGCTTTGGCGGTGCCGGTGGGCTTGGCAGAAGCACGAGCAGCAGCAGCAAGCGGAAGAGCGGCACCAGCAGCGGGAGCAGCGGGAGCAGTGCGGTGATGAACCGGGGGAGTCCGCGCGGTACCTGCGCAGGCGGGGGGAAGAAGAAGGCGGGGAGCCAAGGCGGTAGCAGGGGAAAGATCTCCGGCGGTGGCGGTGGCGGCGGTAGCGGCGGCGGAAGGGGCCGGACGGGTGCGGGAGGGTCGGTGTGCGGAGGAGGAAGTGAGGACGGTACGGGGGAGAGAGAGCTTTTCGATCCCCCGGATGTGCTTGCAACGAAAGTGAAGGAACTGGCGCGGCTGCTCAAGACTAGCAGATATGCCATGGTGGGTCGGCTTCGTTGCTGTTGGAGGAAGGAAAGGGAGGAAGGGAGGAAGGAAGGAGGGAAGGGAAGGACCGGGGTCGAGGGCGGGTGGCCGACGGATGTGGAAAGGGGCGGCGGGTGGGCTGGTTGGGAGGCAGGTGTTCTTACCGTGGGATTGGTGGCGTGGAGGTGTGGATGAGGGACGGAGAACGGTTTTTTTTACTTCACGCGTGGGGGCTTGCGGCATTTTTTTTTTTATTTTTTTTTTCCAAAGGCGGTCTGGCGTGGTCGCCGGCCCGGTTCTTCTGATTTCCTTCGCTTTTTTAACCGCGGCGTTTTCTCATTCATCGTTGCGGGTATCTTGTCACGTTTTTATTTTCGCTTTTGCCTTCACGTTCCGCCGCTCCCCCTTTCGTTTGCGCCCTTCATCTCCCCCTTTTTTTCCCCGTGCAGGTGTACACGGGCGCAGGTATCTCCACGTCAGCGGGCATTCCGGATTATCGGGGGCCGAACGGTGTGTGGACGCTGCGCTCAAAGGGCATTCAAGTCAAAGAGCCCAATTTCCTTCAGGTGAGCCATCGACTTCACAGTACCCCTCGCATACGCTTGCGCACACGCACTGCATTACCCCTCTCACGCGCACGCGCACACGCACTTCCCCCCTACTCTCCCTTGCCCCCTCCCCCTCTCGCGTGGTGCCCAACTCCCCACCTCTTCCCCCTCCAGCCATCTCCGCTCGTCTCTTCCTCCTCCCCCACGTTTACTCCCGCGGCGGACCCGAGAACGCGGTTCACGCACGAAATCTCTCCGCCAGCGCCCCCCTTTTCACCCATTCGCTCCGTCCGTTTCGGCAGGTGTCCCTAACTTCGAGCCGCCTCGCGATCACTGCGATGGTGCAGGCGGGCGTGGTGCGGCACGTGGTGTCGCGAAACATCGACGGGCTGCACCGGCGCCTGTGGCTCATAGACGGCTCACACGCGGAAACTCTCTCAACCCATCCCCCCTTCCTCGGTTCCCCGCTTCCCCCACCACCCCCTCTCTCCCATCCCCTCCTCTCTCCCATCCCCTCCTCTCTCCCATCCCCTCCTCTCTCCCATCCCCTCCTCTCTCCCATCCCCTCCTCTCTCCCATCCCCTCCTCTCTCCCATCCCCTCCTCTCCCATCCCCTCCTCTCCCATCCCCTCCTCTCCCATCCCCTCCTCTCCCATCCCCTCCTCTCCCATCCCCTCCTCTCCCATCCCCTCTTCTCCCATCCCCTCCTCTCCCATCCCCTCCTCTCCCATCCCCTCCTCTCCCATCCCCTCCTCTCCCATCCCCTCCTCTCCCATCCCCTCCTCTCCCATCCCCTCCTCTCCCATCCCCTCCTCTCTCCCATCCCCTCCTCTCTCCCATCCCCTCCTCTCTCCCATCCCCTCCTCTCTCCCATCCCCTCCTCTCTCCCATCCCCTCCTCTCTCCCATCCCCTCCTCTCTCCCATCCCCTCCTCTCTCTCCCCCACCCCTGTTTTCTTCCACTCGCCTCTCCGTCCGTTTCGGCAGGTATCCCCCACTTTGAGTCACTTCGCGATCACGGCGATGGTGCAGGCGGGCGTGGTGCGGCACGTGGTGTCGCAGAACATCGACGGGCTGCACCGGCGGTCGGGGCTGCGGTCGCACGAGATCAGCGAGCTGCACGGCAACTTTTGTCGCGAGGTGTGCGCACGCTGCGGCTCGGAGTTCTTCCGCGGGTATTCGGTGTGGAAGGGGCTCACGACGGCGCGCGGGTCTACCCAGGAGGACGCGAACCGCGCCGCGAAGATCCTGCTGGAGCGCGCCACGGGCGTGGTGGCGGACGGGGGGCGGAGAGACGGGGAGAAGGTTGAGAAGGGGGAGCGGGGGGAACGGGGAGCGGGGGGGAAGGCGAGGGGTGGAGGAGGTGGGGAAAAGGGTGGTGTTGGTGTTGGTAGTTGTGGTGGGTTGACGAAGCGGAAACGGAGTGATAAGGCAGGGGGTGCGGCCAGGGGGACGAGCAAGAGAGCGAGAGGCGCGAGGGGGAGGAGGTGTGTGGATGATAGTGATTCGGAGAGTAGTGAAGAGGAGGAAGAGGAAGAAGAAGAGGAGGAGGAGGATGAGGAAGAGGAGGAGGAGGATGAGGAGGAGGAGGAGGAGGAGGAGGAGGAGGAGGAAGACGAGGATGAGGAGTTGCAGTTCGACCATCGGACGGGGAGGATGTGTGAGGTGGAAGGGTGCGGAGGAGAGCTGGAGGATTGCGTCGTGCTGTTCGGAGAGTGCCTGCCGAACGAGGTACTCCTCCCCTCCCGCCTCTCCCTTTCTAGCGTGGTTCGTTTTCCACACCCTCTGGGTGTCTGTCTCTCCTCGTTTCGCGGTGCATGCCTGGCCGCATCGATGCCCGATCTGCATCGCTGCCTTAGCACTCTCGATTTCCTGCACCTTTCGGACTCGCTTTCCCACATCTTCCCACCTAACCATCCCTCTTCTCACTACTCCTGCATCTCCCCCTTCCCTCCCTCTCCTCCGCCACCTTGTCTCCCCCGCACCCCGGTACTGCCGCTTCCCCCCCGCGCTCCGCCAGCCGCTGAAGTCCGCCAAGCGCCACAGCGACCGCGCGGACGTGGCGCTGGTGCTGGGGTCGAGTCTGCGCGTGGGACCCGCGTGCAACTTCCCCGCCAGCGTGCCCCGCCACGGGGGCAGGCTCGTCATCATTAATCTGCAGCCCACGCCCATGGACGCGCGCGCGGAGCTGGTGCGTGCGCGGAGGGAGGGGGAGTGGGGGGAAGTGGGGGAGAGGGGGGAAGAGGAGGGTTTGGTTTGCTGGGAAGGGTGAAAGGGGGTTGGGAATGTTGGAGATGGTTTGGTGTGTGCTGGGGGGGGGGGAGTTGGGAGGGGGTGGGGATGGAGCGGAAACGGATTGTGAGGTTGCAGTAACGGATGAAGCTTCTTGCTGCTGTGTCTGCTTGACTGCTCGTTGCGCGCTCTCTCCCTGCTCGCTACAATGCACGTCGCTGCTGTCCAGCCTCGGCTGCTCCGTACCCGTTTCTGCTTGCTCGCTGTCATTCGCGTCAGTGGCTTATGTCTGATTGCGGCTTCCACTCCCCGTTGCCTCTCATGGTTGGTTTGTGGCGTTGCGATGTGTTGATATGGTGGCATGGTGGCGTGATGGCACGGTGGCATGGTGGCGTGATGGCGTGTGTTCGTCGTCCGTTGGTTCCGCATGACTGCATGGTGCCTCCATGTTTGTGTGCATGGCATGTGCATGGCAGGTGATTCGAGGGCAATGCGACAAGGTGATGCACCTGCTGCTGCTGGAGCTGCGTCTCACGCCGCTCCTGCACTCCCTGCGCCGCACACACGCCCCGCCCCAACCCAACCCCTCGCCCCAAAGCCCCTGCAAGACTCACCCCAAACCCGAGTCTAAATCAACATCAGCAGCAGCAGGAGTGTCAGCAGCAACAGCAGCGTCGGCGGGTGCTTCTCATCCCCACCCCTCTCAGTCTCACCCGCTTTCGCCCACGTCACGACCCGGCGCTAGTGGCAAGGCTAGCGGGGCGCAGGGAGAAGCGGGGAAGGACTGGAAGAGAGGGGGGAAGGACGCGCGTGGGGCCGAGGGGGGGAAGGGCGGGGCGGGGAAGAGCAAGGGGGGGAAGGAGATTAGTCTTAGTCTGGAGTGGCCGAGTGTGGGCCCCACCGGTACGGCAGTGCTAAGGCGAGGGAGAGCAGCCGACGGCCGCGCTGGCAGTGGCTCTAACGCGGGTGCTGCTGGTGTAGGCGCGGGGGTGAGAGAATCTGGGAAGGACGCTGGTTGCAGGGTTGAGCAGAGAGGTGAAGAAGCTTGTAAGGAGGACAGGGGCGTTGGCGGTGTAGGTGGCGAAGGCAGCATGAAGCGTTTTGAGGAGAAGGAGGGAGAGGGGGGTGAGGAGAAGGGGAGGGAGAGGGGTGAGGCGAAGGGGAGGGAGGGGGATGAGGAGAAGGGGAGGGAGGGGGATGCGGAGAAGGGGAGGGAGGGGGATGCGGAGAAGGGGAGGGAGGGGGATGCGGAGAAGGGGAGGGAGGGACATCCGGAGGGAGAGTGTGCGAGGACGAGAGTTGACCCTGGAAGTCGGGACGCGGGCGAGAAAGGATCAGCGCCAGCTGCTGGGAGCGTGACTGGTGGTGGCGCTGGCGCTGGCGCTGCTGCCGCTGCTGCTGCTGCTGCTGCTGCTGCTGCTTCATACGTTGATGCTGTCAGTGGTGGCGCTGCGGCGAATTTCGGTGCTGCTGGTGGAGCTGCTGGTGATGTTGCTGCTGCAGCTGGTGAAGCTGTGGCCGTCGTTGCGGGCCGTGAAGCCAGCGCCTGCGGAGCTGTCGCCAGTACAGAGTGCGCGGGTGCGAAGGACGCGAGTGGAACGACGGACAGCGTGAAAGAAGAGGAAACGCGGAGCGAGAGTCAGGATGCCAGGACTCACGAGGCAAGGAGCGTCGAGCCAAGGAGTCACGAGCGAGGGAACGCGGATGGTGTTTCTTGCGGTGGTGATGATGGGAGCAGTGGCGGAAAGGTCGCTGGGAAGGTGAACAGCAATCAGAGTAGGGGGGATGGGGAGAGGGAGGCGGAGAGGAGGAGGGGAAAGGAGACGGAGAGTGTGAGGGAGAAAGAGGCAATGGAGAAGAAAAATGAAAGGGCGGAGAAGAGGGAGAGGGAGAGGGGGAGGGAGAGGGAGAGGGAGAGGGAGAAGAGGAGGGAGTGGGGGGAGGGGAGAGAGAGGGGCGTTGAATCGAATGCAAGCGGCATGTGTGCGATCAGCCTCCCGACTCTCTCGTCTCCTCCTCCCCGTTTCCCCACTCCTGGTGCGTCCTCCAAGCCTGGTTCTCCATTTCACGATGAGCACCCCCCTCCTCGTTCCTCCCCACCTCCCTGCGAGCAGCACGTGCATCAGCATCAGCATGAGCATCAGCCCCGTCAAAGCCACAGCTCCCAGCACCACTCAGCTTCCCCGAATCATCCCCCGTCTCTGTTTACGTCCCACTCCTTCTCTCAGCCTTCCATCGTCCCGCCTCGCCCCTCCTCTCGCTCCCCCCCTCCGCCTCATCCGCTCTCCCCAACTCGTCCTTGCAGTCTCCCCCCGAAGCAACCGTCCCTGCCATCCATGCGCCGTCCAACCCTCTTCTCCCCACCTCTCTTACCGTTCGCTTCTCCGCCTCGGGGGGGGTTTCTACCCGCCTCACACATCTCCCCACCTGTTGCCAGGGCAGGACTGGCATCGTTGCCTGCTGGACCCGGGGCCTTCGCTCGCCATTCCCCTCACCACCCGCACCCCTATGCGCACCTTGCGTACCCGCTGTCGCTGCACTCTCCTTGCCACGCGTCCTTCTCGCCTCTTCACCACTCGCCACTGCTGCCCTACTACCCGCTTCACCTGCCGCATTGCCCTCCGTTTGGCTCCCCGTTCACCCCTGGTCGCCGGGGGGGGTTGGCTGTTGGGCGTGCTGCTGGCTGCGCTTCGTCTCCCCGCCATGGCTACCACCAGCACTTACAGCAGCGTGTGCACCAGCGTCATCAGCAGCAGCAGGGGCAGGGGCAGGGGCATCCGCATCAGCATCCGCATCCGCTGCAGCGCCACCTCTCTCCAAACCGGCGGCATCATCATCCGCATTCGTCCCATCGATCTCCGCTCCATCGCCTTCACTCCCCCCTGCATTCGCCTCGATACTCCCCTCTGCACTCCCCCCCGTCGCAACACCTCCACCAGCACCAGCAGCAGCATCAACAGCAAAGGTCCAAGCAGCAGCAGCAGCAGGGATCCCAGTCCCCCTCCCGCTCTCTGCCGTTTTCCTCTCCCATCCACCCAAGATCCCCATTTCTGGACAATGCAGTAGCTGCAGGGGCAGAGGAGGTCAAGCATGGGTGGTTGCATGAGCAGGGCTCGAAGGAACGACACGGGGAGAGGGAGAGGGGCAGGAATAGTGACGGGTTCTGTGTTGGAGAGAGGGATTCACATGGGCGCAGGCTGCATCATCAGCATGAGTCTGCAGACAGGCATGGCAGCAGGCAGGGGAGTGGACATGAGCAGAGGCATGGGCATGGGCATGGGCCTGTGCATGAGGTTGTGGATGAGAGGAAAGAGGAGGCATGGGATATGATGGCAGGTGTGCGTGGTGAGTGGCGGGACGATGTGTGCAAGGGTGATGACGAGACGAGGGGCTTGAAGTGGGATGCAGAAGAGCGGAAGCAGGTGGTTTGCTGTCTGGGCATGGAGACGCATACAGGGGAGGAGAATTTTTTCGACAGCTCGCCTGGGCGTCTGTATCCTCAGGAAAGGAGTCATGCGGTTGAGGACTGCCAAAAAAAGCAGAAGGTGGATGGCGGAGATTGTGCCGGCTCAAAGAGAGATGGGGAGCTGATATGGGTGAAGGATTGTGCTGCTGTTCCAGTTCATGAGGAGCCTGCAAAGTGTGTGCTTTCCTCTGCTCTCAGCCCGACTGCAAGCATCGCCTTTCTCTATGCAGGGTCCTCCACTTGCCTTCCTCAGTTGGTGTCAGGGAAAAGGTCTGCTCGGAAGCGGAGGGAGCGGTGGTGATGTTGGTGGAAGCATGTGGGAGCCTTTGCCTATCATCATCTTGCTTTGTAAAGATAGCATATAAATTCTTTGAATTGTGTAGAGGTCTTATTACACGACAAGTCTCCTGGTCTTATTGCTACATCATGTATTGTGATTTTCTTCTCGCAGTATTTCCTCGGTGGCATCCGAGGTCTTGGTTGACTCAGCGATCTGAAGACCTTTCCATGCTTGAAATGTCCTATCCCCGAAAGCCACGTCAGCATGACCTCGAGAATCTCAGATCTCGGGTTTGTTTCAGAGTGTAATCTAATCACGTTGCTGAAAATACCCGCGCTCCAATTGCTATGGCGCATTGATGAGCGTGACACTCTATCCGTGTTCCTGTATCGAGTGATTCTGATGCGTCCCCGGCAATTTCGACGCTACCCCATTCCCCACCGTACAGTGGGGAACCTGCCAAGAGCTAAGACGACTTTTTCTGCTGCTCTGCTGCTCTGCTGTTCTGCTGTTCTGTTGTTCGGTCTAGTCTAGTGGAGCTTCACTGTCTGCAGCACCAGCCACGCATTCCCAGCGTGAGCTCCACCAACAGCACGACTCTCCTTGCCCTCGCCTGCCTCCGTCTTGGCGCTTTCGCGCGCTCCCCGTCTCAGCTGATTCAAAATGGCCACCGCGCGCTGCTGCGCTGTAGCCTCCGCTCTCCCGTCCGCAGGGCTGACCAGGGCCGCTCTCTCCGGCCGTTGCTCGCAATGCCGGCCTGTGGCAATCGCGAGGCGGTCCCTGTCCGTGCGATGCGCCGCTGCCACTGAGACGAGCAGCAGCAGCAGCGACAAGAGGCAAATCTGGCTCCCTGGCAGCACGGCTCCGGCTTACCTTGACGGGTCGTACGTAACTTCTGTAACCCTCGACTTTTGAATGTGTGCCACGTGTACCTCGTTCGTTCCCCCAAACTAGTCGCTGTAACACGCGCCAATCCGTGCAGAGAAGAACTTTGGTGATTCCTGTTCATTCCCTGGCATTGCCGGCAACCTGTGCTCGGCGCCTGGCACGTTCTTGTGAAACAAAGGGGGAAAAAAATAAAGCGTCGATTTCAGAAATGCAAGCGGACCCACCACTGCCACGCATGCACCTCTGATCATTCGTCGACTGCTCCTATCCCCGCGCCCTCAGTCTTCCCGGCGACAACGGGTTCGACCCGCTGGGCCTGGCGGAGCACCCGGAGGCTCTGCGGTGGTACGTGCAGGCGGAGCTCGTGCACTCGCGATGGGCCATGCTGGGCGTCGCTGGCGTGCTCGGCACCGATGTGAGCGCGGGGAAGAGCGGTGTGGGTGGGAGGAGGAAGAGTGGGGGAGGGGGTAAATGGGTAGGAGCGGGGTGGCCGGGATGGCGAGGGTGGGGTGGGGGGAAGAGAAAGGGGGGAGTGCGTGCGTTGTCTGGGCATGGTGGCTGGGGCGCTCGTTATAGAGACGGCTGGTAATGACTGCTCAAGTGCTCTTCGTTCGTCCTCCTCGTTCGCTGAGACGCTCGCTGTTTTAGCTAGGCTCCACGCACGGCTGCGCTGTTCTGTCCCATGCCTCCCTCCCCTTGCCCGCCTCCACTTCCTCGCCCCTCTTCTAGTCGTCGAGACGGTCCCTTCAGTTCAGTCGTCCTCTAACCATTGTTTCTGACGAGAAAGGTCGTGTAACTGCTCCGTTCCGCTCCGACCGTTCTCCACTCTATGCGTTCCCACGGCTGCCCCCGCGCAGCTGCTGACGACTCTGGGCATCAAGGACCTGCCAGTGTGGTACGACGCGGGGACCGCGCACTACGACATCGCCGACGCGCCCACTCTCTTCGCCGTGCAGTTCATCCTCTTTAAGTACGTCGCGAGTTCATCTATGCGGAGGCTGGTATGTCGCGAGTTAATGCCTGAGGTAGCTCCTTTTCCCGGGTCTGGATTACCGGTGTCCCTCACCACTATGGGTATACTGTATAAACGGTGTACTGTATACACACTGGAGCACGTCCTTATCGCACTGTGGGTGGATAGATTTTTTGGAAGTCTATGCTCAGCTGCAACAAGCTGGTCAGCGCGTGACTCTACCCCCTGCTTTCCCCTGTTTCTCCTTTTCTCAGCCTCTAGCGCACTCCTCCGTCCTCGCTCGACTTTCCTCAACCATCACCCGTCCCCTTTCCCCTCGTTCCGCCCTCTCTCGTCCGCCGTCCCACTGTCACTTTTTCCTTCACAAAGCCCATCTGTGTCTCCTCCCGATTTTCCTTTCCCTCCCCCCTGCCCCCCTCCCCACCTTTGCCATTCCATGGTCCTCTGCCCGCCAGCTTTGTGGAGCTGAAGCGGTGGGCGGACTTTGAGGCGCCGGGGTCGCAGGGGGACGACGAGGAGGCGTGGTTCCTGGGTATTCAGCCCGCCTTCCTGGGCACGGACAATGGGTGCGCGGAAAGGGGGGGGGGTGGGATGAAACGCGAAGGGGGGTTGGGTGGGGGGGTGTCTGTGGGTAGGTATATGCACTGCACTCAGGCTTCAGGAACAGGGTAGGCGAAAGGGGTCGAGTGAGGCGCGGGGGTCGCAGGAGCAGGACGAGAACGCATGGTTGCTGGGCATTCAACCCACCTTACCAGGCAGGGACAACGGTTTCGTTGGGCGGGGTTGGGGCAGAGAGAGAAGAGGCAAGGACGGGGAGTCTGTGGGTAAACGGGTGCACGCAGGCCTGAGGGATGGGTTAGGTGAAAGGCGTTGGGTATTTGAGTGAGGCCATTTGCGGAGGGGAATGGGGATGTTTAACACTTGAAAGGGTTTACTTGGCCATAAGTGAGCAGAAGTAGATGTGATCCATAACCGACCCACTGTCCAAAGAGTGGTCTCAGCTCTATATATGTGGGTTGTTGCTGCCATGGGCTTCCCTTGTTGTACTTGCCTCTATCCATGCATCTTGCGCAAAATCCCATCCCTCACAGAGCATGTTCGTCCCTCCTTGCCTTGTCAGGTGCCTTCGTGAATCCTGCACTTACGATTTTGCATCTGTAATACAAAAATTGACGGTTGAGGGGTTGTGGAGAGCAGCATCTACAGTTTTGCATGTGTTATACTATTGGTTGTTTTATTTTTATGCGTGTGATGCAGCAATGCTGACCCGAATCTCTTTCATTTTGCCTATGCCTACCTCTTTCCGTCCAGCTATCCTGGGGGTCTTCTCTTCAATCCCTTTGGCTTGGCAGCTGATGCAGTGACAGGGCACAAGGCACGTGAGCAGGAGCTGGCAAATGGTGAGAAGCCACACTGGTTGTCTCGCTATCTGCTTACCGTGCCTTTTCTATGTGCATCCCGTTTCTGTTGGTTCAAAGTCTCTTTCCTTCTCCCGGGCATTCCCTTTCCTTGCGTGTGTGCAAGAATTTCACGCACGAGCACCACATTACCGTTGGTGCTGGTTTGGATGTACGTTTTCACCCATATCCTCGTTGGTGCTACTTTTCTGTGCAAATTTTCAGGGCGTTTGGCCATGGTGGCTGCTGTTGGCTTTGCGGTTCAGGCAGCGTTCACCCATGCAGGACCGACAGCCAATCTTCTGCAGCACCTGAGCGACCCATGGAACACCACAATTATCCAAACCATTCTCGGATAGAAGTACAATTTAATGTTGATATGCTTTTGTGCATTTCAACTTCTCTGCAAAAGTGTTTGTGAAGGCAATGATATTGTTGCGCTGTTAAAATGCCGTTGAATCAATAGGAATGATCAGTGACTCATTGACCCCTAAGACTCTTGGCTTGTTTTATAAGGGCTCTTTGGGATCTGGGTATTGGTTTTGGTACCGTATTAGAGTTTTTTATTCGCAATAACTCATGTATACAGTGATGTCAAAGTATTGATACTGGAATCTCAACCGTTTCGATGTAGTCGAGGTGTCACTCTCGAAAAGGACGCCCCCGCGGCGCTAGTCGGCAACATCAGAAAGACCTCACTGGTCGGCTGAGATTGATGGTGGGGCTTGGAGTCAACCACCTTGGTTCTTCCAGCCATTGGACATCCCCGATGGATGACAGCAGCTTTGACCAGCAGCGTGATCTCGCTTCAGTCGGCCTCAAAACAGACCAGCTGACACAAAGAAATCACAATCTACTCTTCACCTCTAGCAGCGCAAGCTTCGACGGGGGCATCAAGGTTGAGTCAGTCTGAGCTGAGGCGCAACCTCTCAGCAACTGACGGCGGGTTCCATCAGTCCAGTGACTCGAGAAGTCTACGGTTAAATTCCGTCATGACGAACGAGTTCATTGGCGCCCTTCACTGCTGGAAATTCGCCGTACGAGCCATGATTTCACGGTTCGGAGGAATTCGGGAATCTGGCCCTCAGCCATCCTCTGATCATCAGGCAGGACCCTCTGGAGCCGAGGGAGACGCCACACCTAGTCCGCCATCTACTTCTGGATCTGAAGTGGTTCATTCGATCAAGTCTGGTCCATCAACGAGGGCAACGACTGTTATCTTGAAGAATGCGACAGATGTTACTATCCAGGCGTTTTGGGTTGATTACGACGGCAAGGAGGTAAGATTTAATTATTCATAAGATGCTCTTCCGTCTTTCTAGCCGTGCTCACTTGTCACGTGCCGCCGACGCTTAACGTGATGTTTCTGTATGTGCAGGTTGCTTACGAAAAGATTAAGCCAGGAAAAACTTACCGACAGCGCACTTTCGTGTTGCACCCATGGGTCTTTCGTGAATGCGCCTCGAATGAGCCACTCGTAGTTGGAAAGAAGCTGGTATGGAGAAGTTCCCGAGCGTCGCATTATTAACACTACCACGGGTACATCCGTTTCTGATCCCTTTCACGTGGCGTACGTCTCGCAGGTGGCTCTTCCTGATGACGCTGAGGAGAGTGAAATGGTGATAATCAGGCCTGGATATATCAAATGGAGCCCTGCAACGCACGATCGTTTTCCAGAAGCTTTCAGGAAAAGTGTGAAAGCCTTACTTCTTTCCTATCAATGGTGCCAGGTCAAGTCAGAAAACATGGTAAGATACCTGGCATTACTTTGTTTCCCGCTGTTCTACGGACATGAAGTGGCTTACTAGGTTTTGATTTCGTACATTCAGGAAAAGGCGTGGAGCCACGACCATTTGGGTTTGCAGATGTCTCAGCTTCCCCTGGACCTGATTCATGCACTTATTGAGATGGCCGCACCCGAGGTTCTCGACATCGAAAACTGAGCCACCGCCCAAGTGCCATCAAGCCATCAATCCCCCTGATCCGAAAGCTGTGTTTGTTTCTGCCTGTGACTGGTTTATTATTCTCAATAACTCAGCCTGCTCGAAGGGCAAGACAGGGGAACAATGTCTGACAATGCTGGCATGCTAGAAACAATTGCAGCCAACAAAATTGGAATCAGCAAGTACGAGAATTGATCAACACTGGGAAAGGGTTAAGGGTAGAACATTTGTGTCGCCAGGGTAGAACATAAACGTCACTAAGGTAGAACCCCAATTTGAAGAAATATTTGTATTGGGGGAAACTTCAGTAACTATTCCAAACCCTCATCTCTGCTGATCATGTGTCTCCACACCATATCGTACGATGCAGGCCCTCAGATTCGTTTCAGGCCACGCTGATTGATCAGTGTCGATCTCAAAAAACACCCTGAAAATCAGTTTTTGGTAGTAGTTTTCTTACTGGTTGGCCCTGGTTCTTTCGTTTTCAAGGCTGTTTCATCACGATCGGTACAAGAGAACAGCCTGAAAAAAACAAAATCAGCGTAATAAGTCTGATAACTGTGGGCCTGCTCCGATGTTAGTGTCGGAGATCGGACTAAAAATGGTTGATTGCGTAGCGAAAGCGTTGAACCATAAATGGTTGATTGCTCAAAGAAAATACAAGCATTTGTACTACTCTCTAAGCTCCTCCAAGAGCCTCTTGGAGCGGTTGGAGCGGTTGCTAGAGGCGTCTCTCATTCCTTCAGCAGCCACTCTCCCTCCTTTTCTTAGCTCTTAGATCGTCACTACCGTAGGCCGTCATAGCAAATTCGCCGCTGCGTATTTCGCTCGCTGCTGGCAGCGAAATCCTTGCTGCAGTGGCGAATTCCATGCTGCAGTGGCGAATTCCATGCTGCAGTGGCGAAATCCTTGCAGCAGATCCGAGATCCAGTGGCGAAATGTTAGCTCCTGCTAAGCGAAACATTTAGGGCAGTGACGGATGCTGTGGATAGTCGCGAAACGCTTGTTCCAGTCTCGAAATGTCAGCTTTACTCCCGAAATTTCAGCTTCAGTCCTGAAATGCTAGCTTCGGTTACGAAATGCAAGCTGCTGTGGCGAGATGCTTGCTGCAGCTGCGAAATCCTTGGGTCAGCTGCGAAATCCTTGGGGCACCTGCGAAATGGTGCAGCTACATCCATGATGTTGCTGCAGATTGCGAATTTTTGCTGCTCCTGCTTCAAAATACTTCCAGAGGCATCTGCAGCAGCAGCTGCTGCTGAGACCGCCATGCTGCAATAGCTGCGGCTCTGCATTCAGAGGTCCTCCTGCTGTTGCTTCTGCCGCGACTCCTGGCAGCAGCGTTCAAACCAAGAATTGGTAGGTGCTTCCTTTCCCCTCACGCCTCCTTGCTTGACTTCACTGCATCTGCTGCTTGCTCGTGGTTGAGCTCCCGAGTGACACGAGTACTTGAGCAGCCACCATGCTGCACCATGCAAGGCCCCGCACTCACTTACCGCAGATACAGCTGCTGCTGGCTTTACCAGTTGACCCTGGCTGCTGCATTATCCAATGATTGCTTTTGCCAGAGTGAGTCCAATGTCATTTTCATACAGCAAACTCTCTTCCTCATTCCCCCTCGTTTGTGAAAGCCCTGCTGTGCTTGCAGACTTGAACAAACGAAACCGATCGTAGGAGAGGTTGCCAGCCTTATAATACCCCATCCTCACTTTGCCTTTCAGGTATCAGGTGCTGCTGCCGGAGGCTGTCCTTGCTGCCGGGTTCCTGCACCTGTCAGTACTGCTTCAACCGACCCAATAGTGCTGCCCAGTGTGGTTGATTTCAGCTGAGAGCCTTCATCTGCTTGTCGTTAGCACCAGCTCGCACCTTTGCCCTTCCATTACCGCCATTGACCAAGGGGATTCGACATACGGCGCCAGAAGTTCCACTGCCTCCAAGTCTGGCTGCTGGACCTGCATGGTCGCTGCTGGCGGGTCACATGCTGCTGCTTGCATTGCCGTGCATTTCCGCCGTGTCTCCGCAGCTGCCTGGTTCTCTCATGTCCCCTCATCATCCCTTCTTCCCCATCTCCCCCTCCTTTGTGCAGGGGCGGCCGATTCGCGACGAATGCACAGAGGAATGGGGCAGACAACCTTCGAGGGAGCTTCGCATCATCAGGATCGTTTCTTCTCCCATTTCCTTGCGTGTTCCAGCTGCTGGTGAGTGTGGCTATTCAACAGCCATGCCTTCTGCAGCTGCCTCTGGACTTGCACGCTGACGTGCGCGGGTTAACCATTCTTGCATTAATTTCTGCTCCCAATGTTTTCTTGCTGTCACTTGCTGCCCCTTGCTTCCTTGCAGTCACTTGCTGCCCCCTGACTCCGCAGGCTCAACAGTAAGTGCATGGCGAGGGGCATCAGGCTCTGCTGCAGCATTCTTCTTATCATCAGGTGCATTCCCAACTCCTTGGTGATGCCCGTTGCAGCTGTTCCACGTGTTGCACCCAAGGTATTGCCATGTATATGTCGTGCCATGATTCATAGCTGCGCCTTTGCTCGTGACCTCATTGTTCAATGTGTCGCCTTCAATCATAGAATCATAGCTGCTCCATGCACCCATAGTGCCTCCATTCACACATAGCTGCTCATTCGCTCAAAGCTGCGCCTTTGCTCGAAGCTGCGCCTTTGCTCGTAGCCCCATTGCTCGTAGCCGCGCCATCGCTCATAGCCGCGCCATCGCTTGTAGCCGCGCCATCGCCCAGAGCTGCGCTATTCACTCGAAGCTGCGCCAATCGCTCATAGTGGCGCCAGTCGCTCGTAGCCACGCCAATCGCTCATAGTCGCACCAGTCGCTCGTAGCCGCGCCAATCGCTCGTAGCCGCGCCAGTCGCTCGTAGCTGCGCCAATCGCTCGTAGCCGCGCCGATCGCTGGAACTCCATTGTCCGTAGCGTGCGCATCCTTGCTCGTAGCGTGCGCATCCATTGCTCGTAGTGTGCGCATCCATTGCTCGTAGTGTGCGCATTCATTGCTCGTAGCGTGCGCATCCATTGCTCGTAGCGTGGGTGCATCTCCAATGGTGCATTCACATTCACATGGGTGCTGGTGCCATCACATTGGTGCCATCACATGGGTGCCGTCACAATCACATGGTGCCATACCATCACACGGTGCCATACCATCACATGGTGTCATACCATCACATGGTGCCATACCATCACACGGTGCCATACCATCACATGGTGCCATACCATCACATGGTGCCATACCATCACACGGTGCCATACCATCACACGGTGCCATACCATCACACGGTGCCATACCATCACATGGTGCCATACCATCACATGGTGCCATCGCAATCACATGATGCCACACAATCACATGGGTGCTTGCACATTCACATCAGTGCTCACACATTGACACTTGGTGCAGCCACACATTGACACTTGGTGCAGCCACACATTCATGCTTGGTGTAGCCACACATTCACACTTGGTGCAGCCACACACTCACACTTGGTGCAGCCACACACTCACACTTGGTGCAGCCACACACTCACCCTTGCTGCAGCCTGAACATTTGCACTTGCTGCTGCCACACAGTCACATTTACTGCAGTGACACATGCACACTTGCTTCAGTCACACAGTCACACTTTCTAGATTCTCACAGCCACACTTGCTGCAGTCACAGGCGCGTACGTGCGGCAGCCATTCAATCACTCCTGCTGTAACCACATTTATTTGATGAATCGCCTTTCTGCACACATCCAGCCTCTTCACAATGGTGTAGCTTCAGCTCCGTTTAAACACTACAGCAGCTCCACACGTGCTGCTGCAGCTCCACACGCGCTGCTGCAGCTCCACACGCGCTGCTGCAGCTCCACACGCGCTGCTGCAGCTCCACACGCGCTGCTGCAGCTCCACACGCGCTGCTGCAGCTCCACAGGCACTGCATCACATAATATCCATGCTTGTGCATGACTTCCTCCTCGTCCCTTCACAGGTGGTGCATGCAGGTTGAGAAGGGGCATTTATGTCAAACCCCTTGCAGTGGTGGACGCCTCCATTGCCACCAGTAGGGGGGGGTCTGTCAACTTATGCATATATTTGTATGTAGAAGTTATAGGCTAGATAGGTGTCCCTTCTTAGAGGGTACAACTCCAACCCTATATCTCCTTTGTTCTCACATACCGCTAATCATTCTAGCATTCTAACATCGTATCATGAGCAGGTTAGGTCCGCCCACCCGCTTCCGCCCCTAGCCCTAGCCTACCGCCCCGCCGGCCCCTAGCGCGCCCGTAGGCCCCAAGGCGCACCGCCGGCCCTAGCGTGCCCGTCGCCCCTAGCGTATCCGCAGGCCCCTAGCGTGCCCGCCGCCCCTTCACCGCCGCGTCGGCCTCTCACGTACCCCAACGGCCCCTCGCATCTAGCCGGCCCCTAGCGTACCCATTGGCCCCTAGCACTCAGCTGGCCCCTTGCGCACCTCGCCGACCCCTCACGCGCCCGCCGGCCCCTCCCGTGCCCGCCGACCCCTCCTGTCCTCGCCTGCCCCCTTCGCGCCTCTCCTGCCTCGTCGCGCATCTCCGGCCCTTAGCACCTCGTCGGCCACCTAGCGCCCCATTGACCCCACAGCTGCCGAGAGTGAGACCTTTGCTGCACTCGCTCCCGCAGTCTGGGACTCTCGCGATGCTGTAGCGTAGCTCGTCATTAGTCATGCGCTTCCCCTGTCTGAGCGCCAGCGCTTCACTGCTGTCGCGAACGCCAAGGATTTCCTAGATGCAGTAGTTGCGCGCTACTCCACATCCGCCTCCGCCTCCGCTGACCGCTTGATCCTCCCCTTGCTATTCCCCGATCTTTCCGCTTTCCCCACTGTCGTTGACCTCGCAACTCACCTCCGTGCACTAGAGACTAGCTAGCGCGCTGCTAGCACTGCCGCCCAGCTCACTGCCTTACCCCCACCGTTCTGTGCTACCCTGCACCTTATTGCCATGCGCCTGCCTGACCGCTTAGCCACTGCTCGCGACCACTTCCTTAGCCAGCACCCAAGTGACCTCACCCTGACCGCCTTTGTCATTACATTTTCAGAGATAGAGACTAGCCTGCGCACTATCGCTCTGTCGAGTGGTGTTGCGGCAGTCCCTATCTTTCAGGGCTGTGCTCCCCCCTAGTGCACGTACCCCGACGTTTCCGCCGCGGTTGCTATGGCTGCTCCTGCCATCGAGACCGCATGTGCGGCCTTCCCACAACAGCGACAGCGTCGGGGCCGTCGCGGCCCCAAGGGAGGGCGTGGTGGTGGTACTGGTGGTGGTGGTGGTGGCGGAGACAGTGGTTCTGACGAGGGGCCTGAGGCTGGTGTCCAGTCGCAGCAGCAGCCGCAGCAGACGCAGCCGCAGCAGTAGCCGCAGCAGCAGCACCAGCAGCAGCCGCAGCTGCCGTGACCCGCCTCTCGCCGGGGTGGCCAGGAGCCCCTGGAGGTGGTGGCCGGGGTGCCGGTCCTCGCAGCTCGGTGTCTACCGGCGGCTTTGGTGCTGTGAGCTGCCAGTATCACCTCCAGACCGGGCCCCTCCGTGGCACTGTGTGCCTCCGCCCGCGCCCGAGCGCCCACTGCTTCCGCCGCCTCAACGACCTTTTCCGTCGCCGCTTAGGCCCGGCCTCGGACCTCCCTGACTGGCCCAGTCTGCTGCGCTACAGTGTGCTTGTTTTTCACTTAGATATGGATCATATTAGTTCCGCCCTGCATTTTCTGTATGCTGACGCTTCTAGTGTGCCTGGACCTTATTACCCTATGTTCTCTAGCTTAGGCGTAGCACCTGTATCTAGTACAGACTCCCCTGCTGCGTCAGGCGTAGGACCGTTTGCTTTGTCTAGCCTAGGCTCTACCCTTGCTCCTCCTTCGTCCGCCACTACCGCTTCGCTGTGCTTCACCCTTGACTCCGGTGCATCTGCCTGCTTCTTCCGCGACCACGCCACACTGACGCCACTTGCAGCGCCTGCCGCTGTCGCCTTTGCTAACCCCTCCTCTGGTCCTGTTGTTGCTCGCAGCTACAGTACCCTTCCTTGACCAGCGATTCCCTCGGGTTCCCTTACAGGCTTGCACATCCCCTCGTTCTCCCGGAAATTAGTTGGTGTCGCCTGTCTCCAGGACCTCGGCGTTACCACTACGTTCTCGGATCACGAGCGGTACACTGTCTGTACCGAGGCCGCCTCAGGTTCCCTCCTTGCGACGTTCCCCCAAGACCCCGTAGTCCTGCTTACGCTGGACACTGCTTCCCCCCCGGGTGGGGCGTCCTCCCTAGGTCTTGCGCGTCTACCTAGGTCGCCGCTGCGTGCTCGTATCAGTCGCTCACTCACCCGCCGCTTCTGTGGCACCACCGCTTGGGTCACCTCGCACTACCGCGCCTATGTTATATGTCTCAGCACTGTCTCGTCCTAGGCCTCCCTACGTCGCTTCCTGCCCTCCCTCCCTCGCCTGTGCCACCGTGCATGCCCTGCGTCGAGGGCCGGCTGCGCCGTGCTCCTCACTCCTCCTCACTTTGTCCTACCACCGCACCCCTACAGACCCTGCACATGGACGCCTGGGGTCCAGCCCCCGTCCATGCACCGCGTCGCGAGCGCTACTTTCTCATGCTCGTCGACGACTATACGCGCTACACCACGGTGCTTTCCTTGGAGTGGAAGGCCGACGTGCCTGACGTTCTTATCCCGTGGGTCGTAGTTGTGCGCCTCCACCGCGGTCTCCCTGTTCTGTGTCTCTACTCCGACCGTGGCGGCAAGTTCGCCTCTGGTCGGCTTGGACAGTTCTGTCGCGCGGAGGGCATCACCCAGCCGTACATCCTACCAGACTCCCCGCAGCAGAATGGGGTCGCTGGGCAATGCATCGGTTTGGTCATGAAGGTCGCTCGTATCTCCATGATGTAAGGATTAAGGACGGAGTCTAGGCGAACTTAGGAGCGAGAATTACTCAAAATATAAATCCGAAATTATGGACAGAAAAATTGTCTTCACAAGAAACGACGTCGACAAAAAAACTAGCCGTTGGAATGTCGCGAAAATCGGCCATATTGTAGCTTGTAATCTTAGCTACCATTTGCAATTTGAATCACATCGATTGATGGAGTATTCGCGACGCTATGTCTTTCGACGCAGTAGGGGGTAAGCTGTGGGAGGAGAACTTAACTCAATCTCAAAAGTTCAATCAAACTTCAAGAATCTCATAAGGAATTAGAGGAGCAAGAGAAAGGTAGGAAAGGAAGAGAGGGATGAGAGAGAAGGTCCCAAGAGAGTCCCCAACCAAGGAAACCTCATAAGCACAAAGATTCCCTCCCTATAGGAACCCCAACTTTGACATTTGTCCCTTCCCAACCAATCCAACCAAGTTGGCCACCCTTGCCAACCTAGCTTAGTTGTTCCCAACCAATTTGCAGCTGTTACAGTAGAGTGACAAATTTCCCCAACCCCTAATGGTCCAAACTCCATATAGAGTCATCCCACAACTTCACTTTGTAACCGCCGCAATTGTAACGCAAGCTCATGAACTTTGAATCTTCATAGCTTTCGCGTTGTTGCTCCGATTGAAGCGATTCTTGTTGCGTCGGAAAGATATTCTCAAGATCTATTATCACAAATACTTGCTCGAACAAAAATAACACAAAACACATTTCCAAACTCCAGAACACACCACGCATAAATGCTTGCACACATTCAATGCACACATGCCAGTTGAAAACATGAGATGTGAGGCAGACAGAATGTGATAGCATGTGATGACATCACACAACAATCTCCCCTTCTGGCTGCCAACCATCATCCACCATACCACATCTCAAGCATGCATACTCAATGCACACTCATCCTAGCAAGCTTCATGCACACTCAAGAGTGCGTGCCCCTTCCTGCAGGGTCCTGTTGAACCTCTCAGCCACGCCATTCTGCTGCGGATTGTAGGGCACTGTCAGTTGATGTTGGATCCCCTTCCTCTTCAACTCCCCCTCAAAATCAGCTCCAATGAACTCCCCACCATTATCACTGCGGATCACCTTCACCTTGTGTCCGCATTCCCTCTGAGCTCTAGGCATCCACTCCTTAAGGACAGCCGCTGCCACCTCCCCCTTGCTCTTCAAAGGGTAAACCCACACTGCCCGAGTGTGGTCATCCACAATTGTCAAGAAATAGCGGCTGCCTGAGAGGGAAGGGGCTCTTGTGGGCCCCACCACATCCATGTGCACAAGTGCAAGTGGGGTCTTGGCTGGTCCTGTAGTGCTGTTGAAGGGGAACTTGGAGAACTTGGTCTCCAAGCATGTAGGGTAGCTCCCTATCTCCTTCACTCCCCCTTTCAGCTCCAAGCCCTTCAGACTCCCATCCTTCACCAACTTTTGCAGCATAGGGAAGTTCACATGACATAGCCTCTCATGCCATGTCTCCCAATCAGCCTCACCACTCCTTGATGAAGCCTTAGCCTATGCCGCACTCGCATCCACACCAGCAAGCACCTCACCATGTGTCTGCTGCTGCTGCACTTTCTTGACTACTTCCAGGACCCCATCAGTTGGTGCAGTTGCAACTCCTCCTGCTGTTGCCTTTGCCGCTATTACCGTTGCTGCCGTTGGAGTCTTCCCATTCCAAGGGATGATGGGCAGCTGCCACAGGTCCTTGATGCAGCTGGTCTCCTCTTCCAGACTCCACAGTACCTTCTTCCCAAGCTTAGCACGGCAGCTGGTTGGTCCAAAGGTCACTTCGGCCTTGCTCTTCTGCAGTCGCCGCACAGAGAGAAGGTTAGCAGACAAACCTTCAACCAGCAGAACATTCCCAAGCCCCACAAGCTCCCCATTAGCTCCCTTAACCTTGGCATTTTCAACACCAATCATATGAAGCAAAGCACCTGACGCTGCTGCCACATACTTAATCTTCCCAGAGGGTTTTACCTCATCAAGCAAATCTGCCCGTGGGGTCATGTGACTGGTGCAACCTGAATCAATCACCCAGTGCGTGAGAGGGTGCATCACAACCTTTCCCACAGATTCCACATCACTCTCATGCCTATGCACATCCTCAACCATGAGAAACATCCTAGGAATAGACATACCTTGTGCACCTTCACCTTGTGAACCTGAGCCTTGCACAGCGCCACCTTGTGCGCGTTCACCACTTGGCGGCTTCATGCCTGGAGGTGCCCATCCCTCCGGCCTGCTGAAGCACTTGAACCAAGGATGCCCGACCTTCTTGCAGTACCAGCAGGTGCCCTCCATTCTGGTACTCCCCCTGCCACTAGAGCTCCCATGCCCCTCATTATAGTCACCTCGGCCTCTACCTCTGCCAAAGCTCCTCCCACGGCCTCGCCCTCTCCAACCCCCTCTTCCTCTGCCGCGCCCTGCAGCTCCATACCCCTCAGCAGTCTTAGTGGAGGCACCACCTCCCACATGGCGTCTGCGGAAGTCCTCCTGCAGAATCTGCTGCCTTAGCCACTTAGGTGTCCATTGATCTTGCTGAGAGTTGAGGGTGGGGATGAGGTTGTCCCAAGAGTTGTCCAACACCGAGATGATCTTGGTGCACTGCTGCAGCTGAGATACACTGCTGCCCGCTGCTGCCATCCTTGCATAGGTGTCCTTGATCTTGTCAAGGACCAGCTTCACATCGTCCCCTGGTCGCATGGAGATGGCAGCAAGTTCCTTCTCGAGCACGATCACCATCGAAAGAGTGTTGGGTTGAATCACATGGCGTAGTAGTTTCGACGCCCTTGGACCCGAATCATCCGCTTCCACAAGATCCTTGATGTGCTCGAACATCTCCTTGTTGACCGATTGAAGGATGAGGTCGAAAAGCACCGCGCTTTTCTCAATCCACCGTTCACGTGCTTCGCCTTCTTCCGGCATCTTCTCCTCCCCAACAGCAATCTTCAGTAGCTTGTAGCGTTTGAAGGCACCCCTCATCCGCCCGCTCCATTCCTCATAGTTGGAGCCATCCAAAGCTTCAACTTTTGATGTTGGCGGCTCACTTGTCTTCTCAGGTACAGCTCCTCTTCCATTAGCATCTCCTCCCCTATCATTCATCTTCTCCTTGAAAAATGACGAATTTCAGCTCCCCTTTGCTGTCCACACTCAGCTCCCAGGATATTTTCACAAGTGTTGGCGTCCACGAAATTTCGGCAGAGTTTCCCCTTAGCGGAAGACACATCCAACCTTTAGAACACCACTTAGACACACCCACAGGCCATGGTGGGTCTAGAAGGGTCTTCACACTTCTGTAGACTCCTCTCAATGTCCTCAATATGGCTCTGACACCACTTGTTAGGATTAAGGACGGAGTCTAGGTGAACGTAGGAGCGAGAATTACTCAAAATATAAATCCGAAATTCTTGACAAAAAAATCGTTTTCACAAGGAACGACGTCGACAAAAAACTAGGCGTTGGAATGTCGCGAAAATCGGATATTTTGTAGCTTGTAATCTAAGCTACCATTCGAAATTTGAATCACATCGATTGATGGAGTATTCGCGACGCTATTTCTTTCGATGCACTAGGGGGTAAGTTGTAGGAGAACTTAACTCAATCTCAAAAGTTCAATCAAAGTTCAAGAATCTCATAAGGAATTAGAGGAGCAAGAGAAAGGTAGGAAGGGAAGAGAGGGATGAGAGGGAAGGTCCCAAGAGAGTCCCCAACCAAGAAAACCCCATAAGCACAAAGATTCCCTCCCTATAGGAACCCCAACTTTGACATTTGTCCCTTCCCAACCAATCCAACCAAGTTGGCCACCCTTGCCAACCTAGCTTAGTTGTTCCCAACCAATTTGCAGCTGTTACAGTAGAGTGACAAATTTCCCCAACCCCTAATGATCCCAACTCCATATAGAGTCACCCCACAATTTCACTTTGTAACCGCCGCAATTGTAACGCAAGCTCATGAACTTTGAATCTTCATAGCTTTCGCGTTATTGCTCCGATTGAAGCGATTCTTGTTGCGTCGGAAAGAACACAAAACACAAAACAAATTTCCAAACTCCAGAACACACCATGCATAAATGCTTGCACACATTCAATATACACATGCCAGTTGAAAACATGAGATGGGAGGCAGACATAATGTGATAGCATATGATGACATCACACAACAATCTCCCCCTCTGGCTGCCAACCATCATCCACCATACCACATCTCAAGCATGCATATTCAATGCACACTCATCCCCCTCGCAACTCAAGAGCATCTCACCACTCGTCACATCTGCAGCACCTCTTTGCAACCGCTGCCTCACTCCACTATACTCCAATCCCACTGATACCGTAGCACTTACATAGCGGATCAACCTCTTGGTCGCTTCCAGCTGCTCATGACTAGGGCGAACATCAACTGACAGTGCCCTACAACCCGCAGCAGAATGGCGTGGCTGAGAGGGATAGCGTGACTAGCAGAATGGCGTGACTAGGCCCTGCAGACCCCCCGCTCTTTGTTCGTGCTGGCCAGACTCCGTTCTACATCCTTGTCTACGTAGATGACCAGGTCTTCACTACCACAGCACTGGTCGGCCGCTAAGAGGATTTTGCGTTATCTAGCAAGTACATTGGGCATGGGACTAGTGCTAGGAGGACTCGGGCCAGTGGTCCTTACTGGGCACATAGACGCTTCTTGGGCAGACGACGCTGAGACCCACAGGTCCTCCCAAGGCTATTGCTTCAGCCCTTGTTTGGGTGCCATTTCGTGGAGGTCCACTCGCTCCTTGTCTGTTGCCCAGTTTAGCTGTGACGCTGAGATCTATGACGGTGCCATGGCGGCACAAGGTCTCTGCTGGCTGACCTTCTTGCTTGCTGACTTAGGTGAGTGGCCCTGCTCTACCCCAGTTCTGTACGCTGAAAACAAGTCTATGATCCTCCTGTGTCTGGAGCCACGTCTGGAGGGCAGAGCGAAGCACATCCAGCTGCGGTACTTCCTCCTGCGCAAGCTACAGCAGCATCGCCAGGCCCGCGTAGTACACTTGGCCTCCGGTGCGAACACAGCTTATACAGTGACGGAAAAAACTGTCCATATCGTGACCCTTTGAGAGGCTAAAATGCGTGTGTAGATTTCATACAGTCTTAAAAACAGGGGGCTTTAATATACTAGTATAATGCCTCCTGAGTAAGAAGAGAACATGTCATGCAGCCTGAAAGGGCATGTTAATAATGCCAAACCAACAACCACATTCACCAAGCACTATTCGGACACTTTTGGCCAGATTTGAAGAAAGTGTTTAACAATCCAAAATCAGTATCTAGTCCACCTCCCCTTAGCCCTAACCACTGCCTTCACCCTCCTAGGCATACTGTTGATGAGGCCCCTGCACACATCCGCCCCAATGCCATCCCATGTTTCTTGCACCCGCTCCCAAGTCTGGAGCATCCCTGTGGGGGGGTGCTCATACTTGGCAAGCTCCCTTTTGAGGTGTGCCCACAGGTGCTCGATGGGGTTGAGATCAGGGGAGGAGGAAGGCCACATGAGGACTGCATACGGCTGCTCAGCCAGCCATGCTTGCACAAGGCGGCTCTTGTGCTTGGGGTCGTTGTCATGCTGGAAAATTACATCCGAGGGGGTTAGACTATACAAATCGATAGTTTGAGCAAGCTCATCATGTAAAATGCTTCTGTACAGCTCCCCATCCATGCGGCCGTCAATCTTACACATATAGCCCGGGCCATCATAAGTCATGCATCCCCATACCATCAATGACCCGCCCCTATGCTTGACGGTTTGCTGAATGTGGTGACGTTGCAGGGCCGCCCCGTCGCGTATCCACGCGTACTTGCGGCCATCACTGGAAAAGCGGTTGATCTTGGTCTCGTCGGACCAGATAACCCGCTTCCAGTCTTCAATGGTCCAGTCAAGATGCGCCCTGGCGAAATCGAGTTGGTCTCTGATATTTCGGGCAGAAAGTCGCGGCTTCTTCGGTTTCTGCACAGCTACTAAACCGGAGTTCTTCAGGGCGTTGCGCACGGTTCTAGGGCATATCTTGATGCCGCGCTCCGATTCTAGAAGTCTCGTGGCTTCTATGCTAGTATTCGCTCGGCCAGAAGTGACGGCTCGGACCAGAGAGCGCCTATCACGAACCGAGAGTATGCACGGTCGGCCGTTCCTAGCAACATTCGGCCTGACCGCTAGGCTTCTCGAGCGCTGGGAGGCTTCGTGAGCATATTTCTGTACCGTGCTTTTTCCTATTCCTAATGCTTTAGCGATTTGTCGAATACTCTGGCCCTGTCTAATAAGTGTCGCGATCCTTTCTTTCTGGCTCGAAAGAAGCGGTCGCATCGTTGCTGGGGGCTTGGCGTAGTTGCCGCTGGACTATCGAGAGAAAAATGGCAGCGTAGGTTGCGAGGTCGCGTAATGCAGGCAGGAAATAGATCTGGACGCGAAGTGGGCCTAAAGTGTTCGCATCCAGTAACGAACGCTTATTATTGTACTCTTTACAATAAACTCGATAAAAGTTACAACACCCAATTGCATTCAGTAGCTCACGTCAAGCGGCACAATTTGCAACATGTTATGGTTGGGTTATGACAACATACCATGCCAAAATCGCAAACTCTATGTACTACAGTGGATTAATAAGCCCACTTATTTCCGTCACTGTATCTTGACTAAGGCGCTTGCGCCTAAAGATCATCAGCGGCACTGCTTGCAGCTTGGTCTAGTTCCTGTAGACTCACACTTGCTAGGACCTTGATTGTGTACTCCTCTTTATATATACCTTTCAGACTGGCCTTGTGGCTTCTCTTCCAGTGACCGAACTAGTAGTGCCACCCTGGCTTCTCTTGTCTTGTTTGTACTCTTGCTGACTAGTCTTCCGACCCCTGTCTCAGAGGTTGGACTAGTAGTGCCACCCTGAGCTGCGTGTTTCTTGCTCAGCACTGCCCCTTATCTAGCCTAGGGTGTCACAGTATCGAATGAGGTTTGCTCAATGTTGCCCTATCAATCAGTACAAGGTGCTTTTATACTTCCAAAGTACATTAGGTAACCAGGTTTATCCTATCCAAAGAGAATAGACCCTTATAGAAATAGAATCACCATGTGTATAGCCACGCGAGGCTATTGGCTTTAAGGGATTACGGCAGGATTACGCTAGATATAGCGCGCCAGTACATCCCGAGCCTGGTCGGTGATATAATCATAATAACAAGATAAACCAAAGGATAATGGAAAATGAGGAATAGGAAACCAAATGAGATGAGATAAAGACCAAATGAATCCGGATAAAATGAGGAATGAAATAGAAAGGAAATATGAAAAGGGGAACTTGGTGTAACGGGGTCGTTCTCTCACATAGGGGGTGTGTCAACTTATACATATTTCTGTATGTAGAAGTTCTAGGCTAGATAGGTGTCTGTTCTTAGAGGGTACACCTCCAACCCTATATCTCCCTTGTTCTCACATGTTTCTAGTCATTCTCGTATTCTAACAGGGTCATGCTCCCATCTCCAAACGCTGCAGCAACCATGGCCACAAGGGGCAAAGTTAGTCTAGGGAAGTCATTCAGCAAGAAGCATAGCAAGATCATTGTGTTGATGAAGTGGGTGGGACAACATAGCCCCCTCTAAAAGCTCTGAAACCAAAGTTTGAAATCGGACTATGCCGCGTAACGGAAGCGTTGAACCAGAAATGGTAGATTGCTCAAAGAAAATACAAGCATTTGTACTAGTACTCTCTAAGCTTCTCCAAGAGCCTTTGTAGCCTCTCAAATAGAACCACAATTCATTTCAAAGCAGGGTTTCAGCTAGGATTAAGGGTTGTCTGAAAACCAGACGGGGTTTCAAAGTTTGGTCTGACCATCAGACGATTTTTTCAAGGAGTTCGAGATTTCAGACGAAATTTTTACACTTGTCTGAAAATTCAGGCGAATTTTTTTTGCAAGAATATTCATCGCTAGCAATTTCGACCTCGATTTGTTCGTTTCTTGATAAGAGCTTTTTCTTAC